ATTTTTTTCAAGTATTCGTTCATTTGAAAACATAACAAATAAAATTCTCTAATAAAGAGGAAAACGGTATTTGATTTTAGTATAATGGTTTTTAATTGTTTCTTATATATTAAAATAAACTATGAAATTTACCGTCAGCACAGTCACAAGTTACACCATTTTCCGTGTTTGTACACGTGGCTCCATTCTTACAGACATTATCAGAACACGTGGGAAGCACGTTCTCACAAAAGTTGCCGCTGTAGCCTGTAACATAATAATAATGCATAAATTGACGATAAAAATGTGTTAAAACCAGAATAAACCATGTGGTTTAAGAATGAAATAGTGATAACTTTATCCGACAGTGATGTGCAGCCACAGACTTTTAATATAATATATATTTCCACCGCTAAAGCCCTCTGCCTGGTTTACTGCCGTCTTAGTCAGTTTTATATTTAAACGTTTTTCGACATTAACCCCAAATTTATTTCCTTTATTGTTTTTTTATAATATTGATATGCGATAATTCAATTTAAATTGTTGTAAGCTACACTTGTGATCTCTCAATAAACTATGCTTTTACATGAGATTTCTGTCTTGAACGAACGACTAAAGCAATAACAAATCTGCCAAAAATAATACCGCAAGATACAACGGATTACATGCAGCCAGACAGACAGACAGACGGACAGTAGGTCATGTATGCATTGTTCATTGAGCTTAACAAAAGACAATAAGCAAGTAAAGCAAACTGTCTCACCCTCTTGGTTGTCGCGAGACAAAAACAGGAAAACTACCTGAAAAATGTTACTCTTATTATCAAGAATGTACAGTAATGTATTAACCTGTTTGACAATCGCATGCGAAATTGCCATTTTCAAACGAGCAAGTACTTTCGTTACCGCTACATGGGTTGGCACGTGCACATAAGTCGTATGCCACGGAACAATCATCACCAATATAGTTATCTGGACATCTGAAGATAAAAAAGAGATAGATGTTTCTTACTAGATAGCAATGATTTTTTCTAAACAAGACACAAAACGATTAAATCTCTTGTATACCTAAACATACCAACGGACAAAAAATAAGAACAGGGTGACAATTGAATACATGTATTTGCTATATATAGGATCAGAGCTCTTTTCAACGAATCAAAACCAATGAACAAGGGCAAACTATCGGAAACCATAAAAAAAATAAGTTATACTAAATAATTGGCAAGTTCTTATGTAGTACCCGATAGATGAAGACGATTAAAGAGACATTCTTTAGTTATTTTCTATAAAGTCGTCCGAAAACAACATTCCGTCAATAATCAAAGCACAGAAGGCGCTGAATTTGTTTGGGTCTCAGAATGTCAGAAACGTGAAGGTTTTGAGATTATAAACCAATTTGTTTTTGTATAGTGCCACCAATGCTTTCCAGTGTTTTAACTGTAGTAAATTGGCTTTAAGACTAATTGCAACACTGATAGTCAATTCAATGTTTATTTGACTTAAGAAAATCAGTTTCCTCAACCGGGATTAGAACTCGAGACCTCTCGATTCATAAGCGAGCGTGCAAACCCCTCGGCCACGGTGAAGTTATATGTTAACGGCCCTAAGAAAACCATATTATTCTAAATTAGGGTTTGTAACACTTATTATTTCGACGCTTAACACAGATGTAAATAATCATGGAGCTTACTGTAAGCATGTATATCTATAAAGAATGAAACAATATTAGAAATCTTCGATCATTCGGAACTACTTTGCTTGAAAATCAATGCGCCTGTCATTTGACAATATTTACGCATTGATCTCCCCTGAATTTTTCGGTGTTAGTATACATTTAAAGGGAAGTAACCGCTCCAAAAAAGTTGACTACTTTAGGCATTTGTAATTAACAGCATTAGGCTCTGAAATGTCGCTACCATTATTTGTTTGGTCTTACGACCCAAACAAATAAAAATTACTGTACACCTTATGATATAGGTAAACTACGTTAAATATAAATATCGTAAGACATATACCCTTTTCTTTAAATTTGATGATTATTTTGATTATTCATCATTGAAATAAATAAAAAAAATGACATACTTGCATCTATATCCTGACGACGTACTATAACACGTGCCTCCGTTAAAACACATGTTCCCATTCGGACATCTGTTTGGTAACTGATCACAGAATCGGCCTGTCCACGGCTGGATACAAGAGCAAGTGAAAGAAGTTGCGTTGTTGGCTGTGCAATTGCCGCCATGTTTGCATGGGTAACTTTTACATATTGAAGTCTCAATCTAAAAACAAACAAATATTTATTAAGTGGTGACAGTTATTGTTGCTTTGCAATTTACAAGTATTTCAATGGTTGACTTCACTGTTCCGACAGGTAATTGTCGCAAAAGAAATCTAAGTACAAACATTACTAAGTAATATTAATTTTCTTATTAAACTTAAACTTAAAATATTACTTTTGTTTTTACAAACAATGGAATTACCTCGCATGATCTTCCTGCGTAACCGTCAAGACATTGACACTGGAAATCATCGTTGACATTTAAACACGTGTCCGTGTTGTCATCGTTACACGTGTTACAAAATTGTTCATCCGGGCTTCCACACTTTTTGTCGCCTGTACATTTAATATGATGTTGAGATATATGAATATAAGCACATTAAGTTGTAATTTGTGTCCGAAAAACATATTTTTGTATACAATGTCTTTTCTGCTATTACTGTGAAAAAAACTTTATAAACATTGTTCACTTTACTTAATGAGAGAGAAGCAGTAAACTTAAAAAAAAATAAAATAAGAAAAAATAAAAAAATAAAAGAATTTAGTAAAATTTACTGTCTGTTTTGTATTGTAACGTTTTGGGACGGACATCATCAACAGAATTTACTTACAGGCTTTTCTGAATTGGCAGTAGTGTCCATGGTAACCGTCGACACAGTTACAAGTGAACGAGTTAACGCCATCTATACACGTGGCTCCATTCTCACAAAAATTTGGACTACAGTCATCTATAATGAAATATATATGTAAATTTACATAGTAAATTGATTTGGTCTACGTGCTCAATGAGGTTCAATCAGTCTCTAAAGCATAGTAACATACTAAGGTATAGTTATGGATTTTGCCTAGTCATTGACTGTACATCTTTTCGGACTGTCCAATTATCATTTCAAAACAAACCAAAACCTTTCATGTTATTATTATCTATCTAGTGTAGCACATGTAAATGTATAACACAATAAAACTTAATATTCCATAGGTATTACATAAACTCATGTGACACTTGCTAACAAAGTTAAAGCCTTTGTATGCGCATGTGCGTGTGTGCGTGCGCATGTGTAAAGATAAATATAGAAAGTTTGTCAAAAGGAATATTTACACTAATATATTCATTATATTGTTTTAAAGTTACCTATGATCAAACACAAAGTATTACTAGATATATAATGAAATTAAGTATGTTGAAAGCAAATTGTGATGTAATATTTGCTTCTTTTTTGTAAAGAAACTATGAGTCAGTTTATATGAATAAGATATATATAACAGAAGGAAAACATACCTATACTTGCATTACAATAGATGCCTGTAAATCCTGGATAACAATCGCATGTTTTATAGAAATGACTGTTGTTGTAACACGTGCCGTGCTCGCACGGGTCTACGGAGCAGGGGTTTATCTTGGTATTACATGTTCCGCTGACATAAAATAAAACATATCATACCCATGTTCTATTATAAAATCACATATAGCAAGAGAACTTAAAAAAGGAGGAAAAAAAGACGAAATATTAAGAGGATATTTTTTCGTTTGCGTGAAATATGGTATATATTTTCACAAAACATGATAAAATGCCACATATTTTCACGAGCCGGTACGGCGAGTGAAAATATGTGGCATTTTATCATGTTGAGTGAAAATATATATCATATTTCACGAAAAACGAAAAAATAACCTTTTTATTTAATTTCATTATCAAAGAAAATGCTTGCTACCAACTGCAATTGTACAGCGCGCAGTAATTTATGCGTAAGCACGCGCTGTTTGGCGCTACAATGTGACGTCATGTAAACAACTCTTTAAACGCCTGTACAGCGTAAATTACTGAATTAAAGATATTGGTGTTCGGATTAATTTTCTTAGTTAGACCATTTTCTATCATGCTAGATAGTTTTCAAAACAAAATTCAAGAAAAAGTTGTTTTGTATTTATCAGATTTTTCAAACAAAACGGCGAAAGAAGTCCCGAAAAATAAATATGAGTTTTGACTCCGCCCACTTTCATATTTATATTTCATATTTATTTTTAAAAAATATGAATTATATTTGACTGATATAGCACCATATTTCATGGGTAAAATTAAATAATAATAAATATTTACATTTCTTGGCACCGTTCTTAAAGGATATGTATATATGGAATATGTGTAAATAACAATAAACAAAACCTACATTAAAAGAATAGGTTATGTAAATGCTATCATTAATTGTAAAAAAACAATAAGAATATATTGTTTACAGAAATTTAAGTAAACAATTAACATTTTCATGTACTTCTTGTCAACTAAGAAATTTTTCTCAAGAGATATTATAGTATTTTTACAAACCTGGTTTCAGCGATTTTCGATTATTTCATTATTATGTTTAATTTCAATCTTTAAGATTTTGATTTAAATGTTATCCGTCGATACAAATTATAAATGTAATAAGAAACCATCACCATGACTGACTTTTCCGTTTTCAGGCTTAAAACATGGTTACCAAATAATTATACAATCTATTTTAGCTATATGTTCAAATAAATCTCCATAAAGCAAAGCACACATTGAAGCGAAACTTGTTAATATTTGAAAATAAGAATATCAATAAATAGAGGATATTGAATGAGTGTAAATTCAATACTGAATTTATTAAACAAGTTGAATAAAGTTATATTATGCGAGCCTCTTGCAAGCATAATATTATTTTATTCAAAGTGTTCAATAAATTAAGTATTGAAATTACACGACTATAATATTCTATTTATCACATATCCAAAATAAAGAGTGTTTAAAGTGAAAAAGAATTTTTTTTTTTTTTCAATGGCGCGCTTATAGTGTAGTGCTAACATTTAGCGCGTCTTCACACTAAGTTTGTATAACGCAAATGACATAAAATCAAAATATGCATTACCGTTTTTACGGAGGCGCAAAGTCGGCACGGGTATGTGATAAATGATACATGAATTATCGAGACAATTTGAAGTTATATAAAGTATCATCAGTATTGCTGAAATGTATATTTTCAAACTTAGACAGCTCAACTAGACTTTTAGAATTCACCAAAGAAGTGTGACGCTTATTTAAGAAAGGTGGAGACCAAACTGTAGTGCCATAATTTATAAGAAAGGAAAATCTAAGGTGAGAAGGTAACATATTTATAAAGCCCGTCACAATATCAACTCTGTATCTTAACTTACTTTGCCGGTGTTCTAAAAAGATTCAAACATAAAGAAACTTCAGTCAGAAAAATGGAATATTTTGAGACTTGATCTTAACAAATACAGTTTCAAAACTGCCGTTTTTAATAAAAACATTAGCGGGAGAGGGTATTAACTAGTTTTAACCAACATTCTAATCATCTCCTAGGACTGTTGATCAAAGCGGTCGCTAATGCTTGGTCGAACTCTTTTAGACCTTCTGAGCTAGACATATGTAAGGGTCATTTATCTGCTGAGGGTTATGTCCCTGCAACGTTACATACAATAAGTTGATTCCTTCTTAAGTTATTAATCAGACAATGACGAGGTGACGTACGAATGCACGTGCGATCGCACAGACGAACGGACCCAACTAAACCAAAAGCTTGATCCAACATTTTGTGAAATTTTATGTTAAAATTCGTAGCAAACGAGGCAACAGCGTGATATTAATAGAAGCATTCATTTGTATTAGTGTTTTATTCTGATACATTTAAATTTATTCACATACATGTTACATCATTTAGTTAGTATCACTGTTAGGCAAAGCAAACCTTAGTAGCACTTACTCATGAGCAGTTCTGTAATAAATCAATTACGTAAATATGTGTTCCCAACAATATATTATTTAAATAATTAAATCACAATTGGAGAGATGACATGGTCAATGTGGTCTGTATTATATTTGTATTTCTGGAAACATTGTCATAGAAATGTCACCGATTACAAGCAAATGGCACGTTAGGGTTTCCTTGATATATCTAATAATATCATAATTGAACAATCCTAAAAATAATCATTTCTATAAATGGCATGTACACGTGTTTATTAACGCAGAGATTCTCTTTTGTAAAACAAAAAATGAGAGAAAAGTCGCCATGAAATAACTATTTTATACACAGACACTTGGGGTTTGGAGCTCAAAACGCCTTTAAAATCCAAATAAAATGCATCAGCACATGTACTGATGATATATATAAAAAAAAACTTAATATAAGCCGTTTTGAAAAAAAATCATATTTCAACATCTATAATAATACACAAGATAAAAATGTTCGCCGGAAAAAAAATCCGCACCCCTACCGTCATAATCACCATGTATTTAATTCCATTTCCAATATTTTCACATAATCCTTTGGTCCATCGACACAGAAGATATAATTCTTCACGATGATGGTCAATTTTTAACGTCAACGGTAATATAAACAACGCAACAGCCGAAATAAATATCAAGATTATCGCCGTTTTCCTCCAACTACAAAATCTTTCGATAAATTCAATGGACCAGACGGCTATGAACGAAGCTATCCGATTATGTGGTTCCCAAACTTAAAAGTGCTGCGCATTTTGCACACGGCAAAGCTGGGCCACATAATCGGATGGCTTCGGTCATAGCCGACTGGCACGTTTGAATTTATCGAAAGATAATGTCATTGAAGGAAAACGGCGATAATCTTGATATTTATTTCGGCTGTTGCGTTGTTTATATTACCGTTGAAGTTAAAAATTGACCATCATCGTGAAGAATTATTTATTCTGTGGGCGATGGACCAAAGGATTATGTGAAAATATTGGAAATGGAATTAAATACATGGTGATTATGACGGTAGGGGTGCGGATTTTTTCCGGCGAAACATTTTTATCTTGTGTATTATTATAGATGTTGAAATATGATTTTTTTTCAAAACGGCTTATATTAAGTTTTTTTTGATATATATCATCAGTACATGTGCTGGGATTGACAAATATGCATTTTATTTGGATTTTAAAGGCGTTTTGAGCTCCAAACCCCAAGTGTCTGTGATTTTATAGATAACACTTTATATACTTAAACTCTATGAAATGTTTCTCCTTAATTGTACTAATATAGTGAAGGAGTAGCAATGTCATATATATATATAGCTTTTATTTCACAAATACGTGAAACAATTCTCGAACATCAGTATAACAAATGTACATTATATCTGAACGTTTGTTAAATTAACAACTTTAAAATGAAATGCAGTGAAATTTCGTACATGTATTCAAAGAGTTTTATTACTCTTAGAAAAAAAACAATATTTTTCATTCCCTAATTTCTGTCAGGCGCATTTTAGAATAGATAGACTATAGTTCACGAAATTTAATCATATTTTTCATAGGTAAAGCAATGCAATAACATTTTTTTTTGCTAGATTTGAATAAAAAAGCATTTAAAGATATATATCAGCAAATATTTAAGATAGAATACAATTTTGACATAAAAATTTGCAAATGAATAATTCAAATTAAACCCTCACAAGCTTAAACCTTTCAAACTTCCGGCATGCCAAAAGCGTTAAACCCGGTATCTAAGCAACGCAAAAGGGCGACGCATTAGAGAAGTTTAAGCCCTTAAAGCATAAGACATTAAGGCATTTACAGATTTAAGATAAGTTAATTTTGCAGTGAAATAATGAGAACAATCGTCTGTTTAAACACATGCAATCTTCATACTCCATACCTGCCAGTACCTCTTGGACTGGTAAAAAATTAGAAAATATTTAACACAACAATGTTTTGAAAACACGACGAACTTGTTAACTTTTACCCTTAATGTTCGAACAGAAAGTGATAAGCCTTTTACACCAGTATAGAGCTAGGTCAGCTTGTACATCTGTGCAGTCTGACCTAGCTCTATACTGTTAATCTTTTATATCTCTAACAGCCCAGGCATTTAAGAAATCCAGAGGGGGAATGGTTAACTCTATATAAAGATAATCTATATCACAAAATTGCAACCAGAACTCAGCCTTAAGTTTATAAAAACATTTTGCATTTTTTTTGCTATCATGATTAGAGTATTTTGTAGAAATGCAATCACTGCTTCACTGACTACAAGTCTGTAAAATTCAATGTATATTTGTTATTTTGATCAAAAACACCTTTCACTTCCGAACACATGTCAGCTTGTTTCATCTTTTGCGACCACAGGAAGTAGATGAGTTGCAAGAATAACTTTTAAATCTTTTATAACTCTTCATTTTACACTTAATATGGTATTAAGTTATTTAACATATCTATTTCTTTACTACGGTACTAAATTACAAGTTGGAATCATTCATGCATCTTTATAATACAGGCATGTCAAGGGTAATTAAATAACTATTGTACATCATTTTGATTCGGTTATTAGGTTAACAATATTGTTTACATTGTAAATCATATAGCCTTCACTTAAATCAGTATCTACTTAATTTGTAATTCCTCACAGAGTTATTTCATATTTCTAATAAACAGAAAAAATCTAACCATAACTAATCAGAAATGCTATATACTTACTCTGCATTTTGATAACCGGAATATGTCGGACATTTACATGAGAAACTTTGATACTGGTTATGGCAGGTACCATTATTCTTACAATAGCTCGGAGAACAACCAAAGTCGTCGTTTTCACAAAGAGTGCCCGAGAATTCGTTGGCTGAAAAACAAAACAAAAAAATATAAATCATTTAAATCCACATAAGAAACGTATACTAAAAACAAACGTTTTTTAAATACTTTATGAAATGAAAATTGGTTTTGAAGTATCCGTTTTTCTCTATAACGCATCGACTTATGCACGTTTCAGTTCTAATTTATATAAGTAAATAAACATTTAAATATTCATTAACTTTTTCAATGATCTAGAGATTCCTTAGCTTTTTGACCATCTCATCTTGCAAACGGAAAGTTTCTTTTTTATTCTTTTTTTTATATTATACATTTTGGACATCATGCTTTATGCATATCACATTAAGATAATACACAAATAAAAGCATCCATAAGACATACATTCTTGCCGCAATACCATTTTCCAAAAGCGAAGGTGTATCTTGACCGAACAGTCGTTTAAAATTTCCAAATGCACATTTAAATAAAGTATGTTTACATTAATTTGAAAAGCACTGCGCATGTCAGTGGAACCGTAATGACACATGATGGCAGAAGTAACTCACGTGTAGTGGTGGAACTACCACAGGTACATGTAAACCCAAGGCCATCTGATGCCACAGTACATGTCCTCTCGTTTTTGCACGGTTTTCCCGTGCATCCGTTCATAGGACTCTCACATCTCTTGCCCGTGAATCCTGCAAGTAAATGTTCAGCTTTTATTGACTGAATTTTCTTATTTTTTCGTTTCATGATTAAATGCTGTAAAAGTTCTATCTATAATCTTTATATGTTGGGAAAAGGTTATCCTTGCCACTGGCATACAGTGATATCAGACTCTATACTGTAAGTAACTCAATTGTTGTACTTTGATACAGAAACGCCATAAACTTTCAATGGAATGTTACAAATTCATGCAGGGAAATCCATTACATACGAGTATGTCACGCAGTACAAGGGTTAATTATTCTGTTGTGCATCTTTGGCCTTTCAATGTTTTTTTCCAAAACCATACCGTTTCATAAAATATTTGCACTCTCATGTATACAAAATGCTAAGAAGTACCTTGACCTCTACATATAGAGGACATATTTTTTCACCGAGTTAAAACAGACAACTTGTCAGCAAAGCCCATTATCGTCCGTTTCACGAGACGTGTCTTTATTTACAGGTTTGAGTAAAGATTGTAATCAAAGATTTACCTGCCGGACATGTACAGAAATAATTCAATCTTTTAAAGGAGCATTCACCATTTACACACGGGCTCGGAGTGCAAGGCGTTTCGGCTGTAAAATAAGAAAAGAGTATGGTATACGTTTATATTATGTAAACAACGTATGGTAACGGAATCTACACGTGATATAGTTGAATCACAGAAGCTTGATAATCTGTCAATAAATGATAAAGTCAAATACCGTATGTACCCCCTATATAATACATATGTATTATATAAGTGTACATTTTTTACGTAAATTATTTAAACTGATAGAGTATCAAGCTCCTGTGGTTAAAAGGTGTCGTTCTTTCTTTGAATTACAAAATGAACTTTTTTGAAAGCAAAAAAAAAATTATATACATATATCAGTATAATTTTGGATGTATTTTTTTTCATAAAAAAACGTGTAGATATTGCTAAACAAAAAGTTATAATAAAGCTAGTATGCGCTATTCTTTTCATTATCAGTTTACATCAATATTTACATATAATAAGCGTGCTTACAACTCTAATATAAATGTTTAACTATTATTTATTGCCTAAATCGTTTACAATTACTCATGTATGTACATTCTGTATTTCGCAGCTTAATAGCGTACAGATATAGAGTGTTATCTTTGTAAGAGTCGAGACCCTAGTTCGAATCTTTGAATAGGCATTATTTACCTTTTACATGATTTGTTTTATATATTTTTCAACTAACTGGACTTTTCCTCGAAAATTGTATACTTACTAACTAGACAATTTGAGAACTTTAAGTAAGTTAAAGTCAACACTGCCGATAACTAAGGTGCTAAATTACTGAATAAATAGCAATAGACAACGTTAGAAATATATGAGCAGAAAATATATGAGCAGAAATATTCCAAAATTGTTAATATTGTGACTAATGAAATTCAATGCTTCAGACAGAATAAAAATGCTATTCAAATGTGTTAAATGGATGTAAACAAATTCAAATACACTCAAGTTTTCTTAACCCTTTAAACTGTGCAAAATTAATTTAAATGACACAACGTCATCATAATGAAATTTATTTCATTTTGTATGTGTACAATGTGCTTGTCTTATTATATTCAAAATTGTGTCTTGATTGTTGAAATATGTCATTTATTTTAACTTCTTTATAACTCATTTATTATTATGTAAGTTAGTGTAATAATTTTACAGAAAATGGACCCCATTGGAAATAAGCTTTTAGCTTAATGGGCAATCCTAGGGTAACATAGAACATACTCATTAATTAATCTTATAATTATTTTTGTTGCATTTATATGTGTGCTTTTACATATATGCAAGTTGATAGCTGTGATAAAATTGTATGTGTATATGTCTTTTCCTTGAATAAATCGATATGATAATATGTTTAAACACTCGCATGACAAACTTCTTTAAAAACATTCCGAAAGTAAAAGTCATAATTTTGCATTTGCAGATTCGAACTCGAAAAAACTTTTATATTCGGAACGCTTTAACCACTACGCTACATGGGTTCACGTCTCCATAACAATTTTTTATTTTATTATACAAGTAAGATCTGCTTAATTTGCGCTTTGATTATATATTGTAATCATTATTTTTGTGGACGAGAAGTTATACTCAAGCAAGTCCAAAAATAATATTCTGTTCTGTTATAATGCAAATAAAATGCAAAATGCAACAATTAAATGCCATGCCCGACACAGTATATCATAACGTTACGTGTTCGATATACAAACTAAGGGAAGCAAATACAATTAATTACTTTCAATTAAAATTTCATGCAGTTATATCCCTTGTGTGTGTGTTTGTGACTACCACTTGTAATTGCCATAGTAGTACAACGTCTTCTTTATTTTCCTCTTTTACTTTTCATTTCCAGTGTAAATATTTTTCTTTCCTACACCCCGCCCTGCCCCCGCCACCCCAAAACTAATAAAGAATGCAACCTATACACAACATAGAAATGATATGACCCTGTCCTACATTGCGCTGTATTTACACTTAAATTGAGATTTTCTGTCATATTATCATTATGTGAGATCAAGTGATCCGTTTTAATGTGAAAATTGTTTTATAAATAAAACGGCTATAATGACGATAATGTTACATTATTATATATCACGTCATGAAAGAAATGAGCCGCGCAACGACAAAACCAACATAATGCGTTTGCGACTAGCATCCGCGCAGTCTGATCAGGATCCATGCTGTTTGCTATCAGTTTCTTTACTTGTTACAGGGTTTGTAAGCATCTTGATCAGACTGAGCGAATGCACAGGCTGGTCTGGATCCATGCTGGTCGCAAACGCATTACGTTGGTTTTGTCGTGGCGTGGCTCATATACTAGTACCATTATCAGCTATCGCCTCATCTAAAGTTTTACAAGCGCTCTCTGATGTTGACCCCGTTTCATAAGTTACCATACTACCATCGCACGGTTCGCACGTGTGACTATACGGTGCCACACTGTAGTAATTCTTCGGGCATAGTGTACATGGTGTTAACCCATCGAATGAAAAATAGCCAGGTGGACATGCATCTGAAACAACAATTCTTATTCTTCATTTTTAAAATGCATAGTTTATTCCTAAGCATCGCTTTGGATATACAAATTGATCATTTGAAGTTGTTATTGCGAATTCTATCAAATCTACCGTAACAAATGTCAGGAATCAAGTTGGCAATGCAAATGCTGCATGGAATTATTATAATATTTGTATTTATTTACTAGTATTCAACTTTTCACGAAAGGACGTCACATAAAAATTAGACAGCATTTTCTACCATGCTACTCCTGTTCTGCATTAAATTAATTATATATTATGTTACCAATATAACATGTTTTTAGGTTCATGTTTTCGTTGTCTTTTGCTGATATCATTCTTTTCATTTATGATGCGGAACAAAGGGAAGGTAACTGGGAATTTGATTTGGAACAAATGTTACCTACCTTTAAAATTGCACACTGACACATCTGTTTGGGCAGTTAGTCCCGTATTTTTGCCGTTTGAACAAGATACACAAGCCATACCGTCGGCCGTCTCGGTACCATATGTCCCCGACGGACATTTCAAACAATTGTGCGTGTTTGACGCCTGGTCGTTGTAATAATAATAACCCTTGGGACACTCCACTATCAATATCAAGAAAAGAAGATAATTAGGAAAATTAAAAAACTTTCGAAAGTAGAGATGCTACCTATTGTAAGTAAATGAATAATTTATGCACTTTGTCAATAATGTAATCAATCAAAATCAGTCACCCGAAAATGCGATAAAATATTTTGTATTCAGTGTAATTTTAGTCAATTTTTTATCCTAATATACAAAGAATGGAAACAAAATACACATATTAATCATTGGACAACATATGACTGCATGGCAGCGTTGTTAAAATCATACATTGGACACGTGATGTCACGTGACGTCACTTACAGCAAGACAACTGTGTTCCTTGGTTGTAGAAACGTCTATTGCCCTGGCACATGTACTGGTACGACGGTGTTGAAGATGACAAATCGTAAACCCCTGAGTTACAAGTGACCCCATTGGCTGTATCAGAAATGGCCGGTAGAGTGCTGACGTCATCAATGTTTTGTTTAGTATTTAGACTGGACGTAATTGTGTTTGCGCATTGTTCCTTAACGCTTAATGCGTTAGACAGAGTTTCATCTTGAACATTGAGTTGATATTCAAAACGAACATCAAGCTTAAATATAAAATACATCAAATGCATTATTGGGACAATCTCATTTAATGATAGACAATTTACAACAAGAGATAGTCTTCCTGTGTCTGACATAAATTATATTTCAATTATCGGAATATGGTATATATCTCGTATACGATGCATATTATAAACCAGGTCAGAAAAAAGTGTCTGTATCTGATCTATGATTAAAGGTAGATTATTATTATTATAACGGTAAGAAAAGTATCATATTAAATGTTTGGAAATCACCAGAAGTAAAGGTTGTATTTTCTACTTGGAAACTTCAAGGGTATAGGAAAGGGAGGAAGGGTCTCAATATAATAGGACAAATCAGTAAATATGGTATGCGCAATCTGAATGAGGGAGGGTGTGTGTGATAATGATAAGGATTTTAGGTGTTTTCGAGTCAGATCCAGATGTTACTAACTTACTATACAGCATGACAACGATAGTGATGAAAATAGTCCATGTCTCTACAGAGAATTACAGTATGTAGCACGAGAGACATTTGATGCAATAGATCTAATTAAATGTAAAATAAACGATAATAACGCATATTGTTAACCTAGATTTGAAAAAAAAAGTTTTCATTATGAAATAGCTTTTTGCTCTTTTGTTGTCAACAAAATTATGTTATATAAATTGTAGACTACATTATTGTAACCTAATGTAATGTAATATAATAAGCAATGCACGTTGTAGATGATGAACGAAATATCATACTTCTTCAATCACTAAATAGAACAAGAAAAACTGCATATTTAGATACCAACAAATAACCAAACGGATTCTTTCATGTTTTAAACAATTCTTACACCCAATATAAAGGTAGGACTAAGAAAGGAATACACCAAGACATTTGCCCAGATTTATAAAAAAAATAAATAAAAGTACATGTATATACTAATAAAAAAACATTTTGTGAAAACGTGCGCGCCAAAAATACTTGGAAAAAAATAGATTTGCTTTTATTCAATTTTAGCTAACATCGGAAGAAGGCTTGTAGATGATACTTATTTTAATTACACTTTCACCATCTCATTTTATGGACTAATCCATACTGGTACCGTACCATACAGAAAAAATGACAGAGTAAATAGTCATAATTAAGAGACAAACGCCCTAACCATTAGATAACCTTTAACCTTATTGTAATTATAATATGCAAAATTTTTGTTTAACAACATAACCAACATGTTCAACACTATGCTTAGGCATTCATATGTTTTCATTGATTGTATTAAAAAAGTAAAATACAAAATAATAAAAAAAGAAGAAAAAAGGGAAAGGTAGGAAAATTCGTTGAATTGACTTACTTCCATTTGATCGTCCTATCAAAAGAAGAACTTTTACTTAATGTGTATTGCGAGAAATTGTTACCCTAGAGATAGTGTCAAATTAAATATAAAGAACCGGAACTATTGCATTAACTAACGAAGTCCTTGTAAAGGATATGCACGGTATGTCAAGGTGATGTCTGAGTCCAAATCCGTCAAATTGTTATATTAATTAGTTGAAAATAAGGACAGTACAAGACATATTTAAGATATGTTTTTGTTGTTGTTTATTTTTTTGTCATCAACATTTCCGGTTTCATTTCAGCATTTTTTGGAATGACCAAAAATGTTTAAAGTTGTCATTTAGAACAACTAGATACATTCGTGTGACTACAATTCTAATGTTAAAACTTACTCTTGATGTTGCCAATGTGAATGTTATAACAGTTTTTTCTGATAGAAGCGTCACGGTGACTGGGTTATTACTATTGGCGTTACATAACCCCTCCATTGTTGTAGCGAACGCTTGTAGACGCTGCTGTATCCCCGGAGTATACAAAGTCTCGCAAGCTGGAAAGTATAAATAAACAAATGAAAACCTTAATTAAACTTGCTTATTCCCCCTGCAAGTTAGTATTGAAATATTTGAAATGGAACAAAAGTTCTTCATTGGAAAACTGTTATATCTATTGAGAATTAACAAAAACTCATGCATGCAATCGTTACAAAATGACCATAGTATGCAAAGTCTCGCAAGCTGGAAGTATAAATAAACAAATGAAAACCTTAATTAAACTTGCTTATTCCCCCTGCAAGTTAGTATTGAAATATTTGAAATGGAACAAAAGTTCTACATTGGAAAACTACTATATCTATTGAGAATTAACAAAAACTCATGACCATAGACTTTACCTATTGCAATAGAAAGTGTTTTCTATGTCATGAAGACTTATGCAGCTACATAGGATTTACAAAATCTCCTAGGATAAAGTTTGTTTTGTTTTGTTTTGTTTTTAAACATTACATATATCATATAATTATTAGGCACACTTTTATTTAGTCTGTTGGTCAAAAAATGAATGTGACTTTTAACACCATGATAACTGCCATATGAACACATCTGCGGATAATTCTAAATTCAAAATTTTGCCATTTCATGTTTAAATGTGTTGACTTCTGCTTAAACCGGTGATAGGGGACGTGGACGGTAACTTGCACTTTCCACTACAGTCCATGAACTGGCTCCATCAAACCGAGCCTGCAACATTTTCAATTTTGCGGTGTTGGGCTTTCTTTGGGGATTATTTTTTTCTCTATTTTAAATCAACTCTTTAAATTAGATAAATTATATCAAACAAAAAGCACTTTATTGTTGTTTGGGGACCTTTCTGTCGTTCGTATACATATACATGGACAGTTACCCCACTCCAGAGCATGCCCATTGATTGGCTCATTTTTGCTGGGGTTTACTTATTGTGACGGAAGAGAAATGGAAAGCGATAGAAATATCATATTAAGATGCTAGTTCATTGTTCACTTTTGTTCTGGAGCTTCATATTGTGACAACAAGGAACGTGTTTGACTATGATACCAAAGAGAAAGAACATCAAAACACTCGGCAATCTGATTAATACTCGGGGGCTACATTTCCTCTAACAAATCAGATAAATAAAAGAAAAAAAGAACAAACAAAAGAAATAGACAGACATAAGCGAGTTAGTTATACATTACCTGTTTTATCGGAAACACCACCTTGTACAAAATACTTGAAATCGTAACGGGCCGTGTAAATCACGTAACTAGATGTCGCAGTTGCTGTAAAGTATAAATTGTCAATCTAAATGGCAATACTGTATTTTGTACGTAATATGCTAATTTTATACACAAGTCAGTTCTCCTATAAAAATAGCATCAGCATAAAATGATTAATATATTCATTAATTATATAACTGTTATTTTATTATTGTTTTTTTTGTTTGTTTGTTTATTTATTTATATTTGTTTTATTTATTTATTTATTTATTTATTCATTATTTGCTCTTCACTAGAATTCAATCCGAAAAAAACTATGAAGGTAGCTGGAACTATGATGGAAATTTTCACACTTGCACACCAACAAAACTACAATAATGGACGTTGCACGATTTCAACAAAAATTGTAAGCTTATTGTAAATACCAATGCATAAAGTATATAAACATAGAGGTTCATTAAGCGAACATAAAAGTCTCTCTTGAGAGTATCTTAAAGTGTGATTGTAATAAAAGAAAACCATGAAAATATAGAATAAATATTTACCACAGACGGGTGGTTCCCGGCTCCAGCCTTGACTGTTACATGTCATACTTATGGAGTTCGTGCCTGGCGCCTCCATAAAATACGAACCAGTATTACATGAAGCTGTACAAGACAAACCTGTACATGTCTTTACACCATTCGGAATATCAAACGCCCAAGTTGCACAAACTGGAGCTGGAATAAAAGCAAAGTTTTGCTTCAATTATTCATGAAAAAATATGATATATTTCATTATTTTCAGCCGAATGTTGATCTTAAAAAACGCATTTTAGTTAATGTTAACTCACTATAGGAAAATAAAAATGTGCTGCGATGCTTTGATATGTCTTGAAAAGGCAAAAATGTGTTGTAAGGTCGAATTTCATTTGATCATCCTGACGTACATATTGCATATATCTACAAATTTGAAGTAGAATCTTAAAACGGCACACCCTGTGATGAGGAAAAACATTGTTATAGAATAAAACTGAAGAACATTATATCAAAATTTCAAAAACTTGTTATATGTTTGCAGCAACTTTGACATAATATTCTATTGCTAATGGTAAATGTCAACAAACTTTAATTCTTCATTTTAGATACTGAAAAAATGTTTCCTGATTAAAACATATTTCCCATTTTCATATAAGATGGCGGCTGAAAGTAAACCGATTACTTTTTATGCATGAAGTGATGAACTTACATCACAAAACAAGCTTGTAGTTCATGGGATCTCAAACAAAAGTCTGTAGTTCGTGAAAAAGTGACTTACCTTCGAACCTAAAATGTAAGGTACATTTATCCAGAATTATATCTGATGACCCGTCAAATGTTGTCGCCTGTACTGCATGTATTGTATTCAGTGTGGAAGCGTTTGCTTGAACTGTTACACTTTCTGGTTCGATGACCAAGCGGGCAGTGGGGTTTTTAAGTTGTAAGTAGGTCGAGCCTCTAACAACGATAGTGCTGTCCGAATTCAATGTTATACTAGTAGACAGTTGGTTGTTACAATCCATTGAATCTACACAGCAAAACAAAAAAGACTTTGAAATAGTGACACGAAATAGAATTCAAAGTTCATTCAAATATGGAAAACGTCAGTAGTTTTACCTGACGTCAACGTTATACATCATTGTAAAGTAGCCAGTACATGTTCCGTATCAGTGTTATGAAAAATATGTCATTATGTAGCAAGAAAACTTATATAAAAAAACTTAAACAGCACGATCTATATTCATTGGTGAAACCATTCAACAATAAAATAAACATTTAATTGTACTTGAATATCTTACATGTATTAGACTTACTCGGGAATTAAGAATTTAAGAATATTTGTTGTTTTTTTTTTTTCAGCTAATCGGGGGTACGAACAAACTTTTTACAGTAACAGCTTCGAAGTTCACAAATTTATTGTGACCGATACTGCAACGGTAAAAGTTTGTTTACACCGGGGGATAAGCAGGAAAAAACCAACATTTGCGGAGTTCCGGATAACATCTATTGGTAGCAACAAATATTATGTGTATCATAAAAGTATATTTATACCTGGAATAACAACAACCACAGTACACAGTCTTTGGTTGTCATTGAAATCTTTAGCCACATAGTTAATGGTAGTAGCCTCAGAAAATGGTTGTTTCAAGTCGATGTTTTCAGGATATATGTCCCACTCCTTGACAGCAGTGTTGTCAGTGGCATAGGGTTCGAACACTGTTAGAGGTGTCAGCATTTCGGCTCTGTATGTTACTCTTCCGTTATCACAATTATATATAGTAGGACTTTGGGTGTCTAAACATAAATATCGTTCAAGAAATATATAAAAATATATACTAGATAAAAAAAATTGTGATCATATGATTATTCTTATTTTAACAGATTTATGAACAGAAATATTGCATTCGTTTTTATCTCATAGTTTACAGGAATATTAATTATTGTTTTTTTCTAGATCATGTATAATACAAAAAAATGGTATGTGAGAAGTTAGCAGTGAACAGTGAGCTAAGCAAAAAGGCATTTCAATATATATAGGGAAGGTAATGATCTGCTGTAATGCTCAGCTGTTTTGGGCATCTAGCAGGGCATTCCTAAATATAGTGTTAAAATGCTCTGCCGCAATACTCAGCTGTCTTGGCAATCTAGCAGAGCATTCCTAGCTTTAGTGAAAAAATGCTCTGCTGGAACGCTCAGCTGGCTAGGCAATCTAGCAGTACATTACTAAATATAGTGTTAAAATGCTCTGCTGGAATGCTCAGCTGGCTAGCTAAGCTGGCTAGGCAATCTAGCAGGGCATTACTAAATATAGTGAGAAAATGCTCTGCTGGAATGCTAAGCTGGCTAGGCAATCTAGCAGAGCATTACTAAATATAGTGTAAAAATGCTCTGCTGGAATGCTAAGCTGGCTAGGCAGTCTAGCAGAGCATTACTAAATATAGTGTAGAAATGCAATTCTGGAATGCTAAGCTGGATAGGCAATCTAGCAGGGCATTACTAAATATAGTGTACAAATGCTTATCTGGAATGCTAAGCTGGCTAGGCAATCTAGCAGGGCATTACTAAATATAGCGTAAAAATGCTCTGCTGGAATGCTAAGCTGGCTAGGCAATCTAGCAGGGCATTCCTAAATATAGTGTAAAAATGCTCTGGTGGAATGCTAAGCTGCTAGGCAATCTAGCAGAGCATTACGAAATATAGTGTAAAAATGCTCTGCTGGAATGCTAAGCTGGCTAGGCAATCTAGCAGGGCATTACTAAATAAAGTGTTAAAATGCTCTGCAGGAATGCTCAGCTGGCTAGGCACTATAGCAGAGCATTCCTTAATATAGTGAAAAAATGCTCTGGTGGAATGCTCAGCTGGCTAGGCAATCTAGCAGAGCATTACTAGATATAGTGTAAAAATGCTCTGGTGGAATGCTCAGTTGGCAGACTGATTCTGAGTTCCAGGATTTATTGTTGCCAAAGTTTTATTGACATTTTCGACTTCTAGGCAATTCTGAGGCACTCGCAGACTTTCAGGAATTTTCGGTGCCAATAGAAATAATGATATTTTTGACTTCTGACCCCTTAGTCATAAGCAGAGCATTTTTACCCTAAAATGTCATTATCTGCATTAGCACCAAAAATTCCTGAAAGTCTGCAAGTGCCCAATAATCAGTCGCAGACCAACGAAATAGACTCTGGATGGTCAAAAATGTCATAAATTGTAATTATCTCTATTGGCACCAACAATTCCTGAAAGTCTGTGACTGTCCAAGATTAAGTCGCAGACCAAAAAAATGGACCCTGGATGGTCCCTAGAAGTAAAAAATGTCATTATCTGCCTTGACATCAAAAATTCCTGAAAGTCTGTGAGTGCCTCAGAATCAGTCGCAGACCAAAAAAATGGATTCAGAAAGGTCCCAATAAGTCAGAAATATCATTTTCTGCATTGACACCAAAATTCCTGAAAGTCTGCGAGTGACTCAGAATCAGTTGCAGACCAACGAAATAGACTTAAGAGGGTCCTTTTGGAGTAAAAATGTCATTATCTCCATTGGCACCGAAAATTTCTGAAAGTCTGCGAGTGTTCCAGAAACATTCGCAGACCAACGAAATGGACTCTGGATGGTCCTAAAAATTCACAAATGTCATTATCTGCATTAACACCAAAAATTCCTGAAAGTCTGCGATCGTCCCAGAATCAGTCGGAGACCAAAGAAATAGACACTTGAGGGTCCCGTAGAAGTCAAAAATGTCATTATCTGCATTGGCATTAAATATTTTAGATAGTCTACGAGTGCCAAATAATCAGTTGCAGACCAACGAAATTTATACTTTATTTAAGAATGCCCTGCTAGTTTGCCTAGACAGCTCAGCATTCCGGCATAACATTTTCACACTAATTTTCAGAATGCTTTGCTGGATTGCCTAGCCAGCTGAGCATTTTTAACACTATATTTAGGAATGCCCTGCTAGATTGTTTAGCTAGCTGAGCATACCTGTAGAGCATTTTTCGCACTATATTTTTGAACGCTTTGCTATATTGCTTAGCCAGCTGAGCTTGCCAACAGAGCATTTTTACACTATATTTAGGAATGCTCTGCTGGATTGCCTAGCCAGCTGAGCATTTTTAACACTATATTTAGGAATGCCCTTCTAGATTGCCTAGCCAGCTGAGCATTCAGCAGAGCATTTTTACACTATATTTTGGGATGTCCCGCTAGATTGCTTAGCCAGCTAAGCATAACAGCTAAGCATTTTTACACTATATTTAGGAATGCCCTGCTAGATTGCCTAGCCAGCTTAGCATACCAGCAGAGCATGTTTACACTATATTTTGAAATGCCCCGCTAGATTGCCTAGCCAGCTGAGCATAACAGCAGAGCATTTTACACTATATTTTGGAATGCCCCGCTAGATTGCTTAGCCAGCTGAGCATAACAGCAGAGCTTTTTACACTATATTTTGGAATGCCCCGCTAGATTGCTTAGCCAGCTGAGTACAACAGCAGAGTATTTTTAACACTATATTTAGGAATGCCCTGCTAGATTGCATACCAGCGGAGCATACCAGCAGAGCATTTTTACGCTTTATTTTGGAACGCCCCGCTAGATTGCCTAGCCAGCTGAGCATACCAGCAGAGCATTTTTACACTTTATTTAGTAATGACCTGCTAGATTGTTTACCCAGCTGGGCATACGAGCAAAGCATTTCTACACTTTATTTTGGAATGCTCTGCTAGATTGCTTACCCAGCTGAGCATAACAGCAGATCATTGATTTCCCAATATAAATCGTAATGCCTTTTTGCTTAGCTCACTGTTAACTGCTAACTTCTCACATACAAAAAAAAATGAAATTATAAACTCACAAACGGGGATGTATCACACCACATATCCAAATATACTAAATACAAATTTCTTGGCGCGTACGTACGTAAAAATAATGCTTAAGTCCTAATTGGAAATAAAAAAAATCAGCTCAAATTAAAGACAAAATTTAGACTATTTTTGTATCATAGACGTATACCTATACACTGGGGCATTTCTCCTACCCACTCCATCTGCTGGGATGTAGCGTTGTACCGGCAAGTCATGCCCGACGAAACTTGACCCAAGGAGTCCAGAGGCTCATACCCTGACTTACTACACCCGAATGTTACTACGGCATCCTCTTGGAACGTATCACCAATTAAGAATCCGCTTGCAGGGTAGCCAGGGTCCGGGCATTGTCCACCTTTAAAAATCAAAGTTCAGTATATGTAATAGTATAACCCAAATTGTAATGTTATTTTCCCTTAAGCCAATAGGTTTTATTCTAACTCCATTACACAGTGCATGTGTTACACATTCGTTTAATATTTGTTGTCAGGTAAGCCTTTATAAAATATGTTACCTTTAGAATGATTATTATAATAAACGGCAAATTAACCTGTTAAAATCGATGTCAACTAACATAAAACAATATATACATTCCCTATGGTTTTCTGCATGCCTTAATTACTCTCTATATAATCGTTCAAAATATTCTTAAACCTGTAAATAAAGGACACCTCCACACATAGTCCAGTTTATGATATCTCTCAATGGTGCCATCATAAACACGACATTATTCTTTAAGAAATTTAATCATACAAGTTAAGAATTATATTCATTCGACATCAAAGTTCATTGATTTAATCTTAATCTTTACAACAATATAATAGCAAAACAGTTTATTTCATGCTAATTACAATTCGAAATAACTGTTAACATCAAAACACAAAATATAACCTGAATTGAACCGCGTCATGACAAAACCAGCATAATGGGTTTTCGACCAGCATGGATCCTGATCAGACTGCGCGGACTGTTCGCTATCAGTTTTTTTACTTGTTATAGGGTCTGCAAGCGAACAGCATGGATTCTGATCAGACTGCACGGATGCGCAGGCTGGTCTGGATCCATGCTGGTCGCAAACCCATTATGTTGTTTTTTTCGTGGCGCGGCTTGATTTTTACCCCCTACCTCTACATCTTAGATCGCCGAAGTCCCAGAGACCGTCAAAAACGTATCCACAAGTTACACGTTGGTTTCCCTTATTACTATTTCCTTCTCTAACATATCTTTCCCGACATTGAAACTCGAACGAACAGTTGTGTTCGTAGCAAAAAGTCCTATCAAGTTGATTTGGTACATAAACACTTCCTGGAACTTGATATACTTCTCCACAACTCTTCTCTGCAAAAGAAATATTTGTTTAAATTCAATTCAATTCGATTATTTGCCATAGAAATAAATACGTAGCATCTGAAAACAATAATACAACAATTCACTTTTTAGAATGCTATGTGATTTTCATCTGAAGACATAAGCGCTAAATGTAAAAAAATGTAATGAAAGTAACAAAATGTAAACAAAGTAGTATTTTGACTTTAATACAAAATACTAAATTACTATTTGTACAAGTTGCAAAAAATGAAACAGAAGTAAAAAAAATAGTTTAGGGAGTTGGCCACTGAATAATTGCTTATAAATTATAACAGGTTACCACAAATGAAAGGATTTAAAGAACGAACAACAAAAATAAAGCATTTCTTGCACATGAAACATAGTTCTTGTTCTCGTGGAAATGTTACATGTGGAAAATTATAAATATGTTGTACATATAATTAGTTACATAATTCTTTTACTAATACAAAACAAATTAGATATTATTATCATATTTTGCTATACATCTATATAAAAACGAGGATTTTTGTTTGAGGTAGAATTGCTACTTATTATGATTGTTTTCTTTCTTAACATTATGAATGAATTCATTACACTTTTGTTAAGTAGAGACAGACATCCAGATTGTGTTACACAACAAATTTAATAACCTTTATTGGCAACACAGACTTTTGTTTTCTTTTGGTATGTTGTACCTTGTATTATATGTTATATGCTGTACTAAGGTACATTGCTTTGTTTCTTTTGGTCGTGCTAAGTTTATCATCTACAGTCAGAATTTGTTCCGTGCATTCAGGCTCCGCCCGTCCCTGCGTTTGCGATCCTTTCATAGGCGGTGTCTCAATGAGTACTGAATCTTAGTGACTTCTTTCATTTGTTTTACTTATTAAATACGTTTTAGTGATTGGTTTGTTTTAAGGTGTAATGTGTCTTACTTATTTCTTGCCGTTATTGTTGTTGTTTCTTTGTGGTGTCATTTTGCACTTTTGGCACCCTACCTCCTATTGTTCGCCCTCCATCTAGTGTTTGTTTATGTGTTGTTGTTGTTGTTTTTGTTTTCTTGTGTGTGTGTGTTTTCCTTTTTTTTTTGTTCTTTTTATCTATGTAAACATACTGGTATCTATGTGTGACACTCTTTTGTTGATTTTATAACACAATTGCTCTCTCTCATGAATATTTATTTTATATTATTGATATTCAAACACATGATAATGAATCACATTTGAGAAAACAGTACTCCAAAAACAAAGACAAATTCAATTACAAATTTAACCAAGCCACTGAAGCTTATTAAAATTCGGAAATTTCCGTGAATATATCAAGTTTGTAAATTTCCGGGGATATAAAGGTTCGGAAAGTTCTGTAAGTTCGGAGACTTCCAAGAACATAGTATTTAACATCGGAAATGAAATTTCTGTAAAAATAGCATTTCGTAGAAATGTTGCAGTTAGAAAATATAAATGGTTTATCAAAAATAATTGATGGAACTCATATTGTCCTTGAAAAACAACAAAAGTCATTATATTACGAGACTGTTCAAAAACACATACTTTCAATGAGCTTACAGTTAAAAGTGAATTATGGGAGACCTGCTTTATCATGAGAAAAATATATGATATGGTTATCTGCAGATGACATAGTGTTGTTTATATTTACGGAAATAGCCGAAGAATGCCGAATATACACGAACCATTGATGCATGAAACATTTTAATTGTTAAATCCAAAATGAAAAATATCCTTGTTAAGAATTATACAATCAACAATTTAAAGGTTAAATTTATGTAGAATTTACCTTGCTGGGTTACCGTTAGAACTAAATAGAATATGGTGACATTCTCAAAACATAATCAACTTTCCAATACATATTAATATTAATTTTATGCATTTTAAATCAAAGTCAAGTGTGATATATCTTTTGTAACATATATCAAAATATTGTTATATATAATAATTTTTACAAGCCTATTTCTGAGACAGCTCAAGTTCTTTAGTAGACAAGGAATTCACTTCGAATGAAACTGTTACCTTTACCAAATAACCTCAGAATGGATATTTGTCATTTACTGGTCATCGCCATTATCCCTACCACGTTGTAGAAACGTAATATTCCTTCTCAAGTTGCTCTTTGAACAAGGATTTTTCAAAAAATGTCATTCTGACCTTGTACTATGACCTTATGACCTCAAAATCTATGTGGTCGTCTTCTGGCCATGAAAACTGTCTCGACCAAGTTTTACTAACTTATGTTAATCCATTATAGTTGGTCCGACCAAAATTTAACTTTCACAAAATGTCACTTTGACCTTGACCTTTGACAAGAATTTAACTTTCACAAAATGTTACTGTGACATTGACCTTTAACTTTAGTTTTACTAACTTAGGTTAATTCATTTTTGTTGGTGTCCAACAAAAAATTAACATGAAGTATCACTGTAACCTTAACCTGTAACAAGGTCAAAATCAAAATCATTTAGGATAATTTACTGGCAATGGACTATGTCCACATAAAAGATAAATAAACCATAGCTTATTCCGTCTTAAGTTTACTGGCCATATATTATATCTCTAATCAAGTTTTATAAACCCACGTCTTATTAAGGTCAATATATTGCAATATATTGATTTGAGAATGATAACAGCTTTTGCAGACGGACGCACATACGGACGGGCTATGCCAGTATTTCCCGCTTTAAAATGAGGGTACAAAAAAGTTGTCTTCCTTCTAAACAATCGAGATGACCCCGAAAATGATCTAAAGCTAGCTGTAAATTTATTTGCAATTTTAATCCACCTACTTGCACAAATTGGCGTGTTACTCCATTCACCCGTGCTAAGGCACGTGATCTTCATTTGGGAAGTTTTAATGTTTTCCAGATAGTAACTATATTCACACGTAACGTTCACCGTCTGGCCATATGTAAATGGAGCGTTACTGCCTACCGCCATCACGTGACCAAAACTGTTCAATGAGCACTCTTGTACTATAATAGAAAAAATGTTTCTATGATATATCTATGATAAATATTCTCTGATCAGACAATTATTTTAATGCCCAATAATTACAGATTTATATTCAATCGAAAAACATATAATAAAAAGCATGTGTCAAAAGGTACGATACAATCGCAGCCTGACCAAGACTCAAACCAGCAACCCGTGAAATATCCTTCAACAGCTATTCTGGCGTCAAATTACAATTTTAAGCCTCTTATACACTTTCTCCACCATAAAACATCAGTTTTAAACTGTAAGAGGTATAATTTAATTGTATTATGGCCGTGTATAAAGGGAAATAAGTTTCACTTGTCAGTGAACCAGTGTTACAGTAAGACAATCATAGACTCAATGCCACGTTTTCAGATTTTGTTGACAGCTTTGTACACCCATGGTTTAAACTGTAACAAAATGTACGGAATGAACTATATATTGTTTCAAATTTTAATGTTTTCGTTATCAACAAATGATACTGGCTTTTATAAACTACACGGTCGTTGGAATTGACCCATATATATTTATGACAGAAATAAAAACTATGTCTTACACAAAAATACACATTATTTATATTTTCAAATATTACAACTCACTTGAGCAAGTTGGCTGAGGGTCATCAGTACCACATCTGAAACTTTGGTCACCCTCTAAGTTATAGCCCTTAATGCATGTTACATTTAGCTCCTGACCTTGAAAATACTCGGGTTCTGGTGATAGTAACGCATTATCGATCATTGGTATTTCACACGGTGTGGCTGTACAAATATAAATAAGTGTGTCATGTAAATTAAAAAGTAATATAAAGTTAAATTAATGTTATTAAAATATGTCTAAAAATTTAACGTCAAAAATGGATTTTGACAAAAATGGGGGAAAAGTTATGTTTGTATTTTGTGATATTTTTATATATCATCTTTCATTGTCTTATCTTTTATGTGATGTCGTTGCTTTGTTCATGTTGTAGTTAACGTCCTCTTGTTTTGCTTGTTTATAGATCAGCTAGTCTTATTTATCCTATCTAAAGAAAGTAATATGAAAACAATTGAAATTTATTAGGTATTATGTATTTAATATTAATACTTTAAGGAACTCCACTGAAGTTTTTTGACATGACTGGGATTTTTTTTCGAGGTTGATGTTTCATTTTATGTAGGACTAGGCCGAAAGCTTGTGTGCAAAAATTCAGATCTGTTTGCCTATTCCATTTTTCAAGAATTATTATTCTAATTATGAAAAATGACCAAAAATAGAAAACCGTTGTGCATAATACACATTTAATCTGTTCCAAACAGGACACCGTACTGTTGATGATATTGCACGATACTAACGTTCACAGTAAGATTGATCTTCCTCAAGACTAAAGTCCCAAAGTCCGTCTTTACATTGTACAATTGGTGCACCGATTAACTGCCCTTGTTCTTTGCATGTTAGATTCAAAACACTGCCATAGTTCAAACCATCACCTAGCAACACTTTTGCTGTCACATCTTCCACGACATTTGTAAATGTCTGGCAAAGTGTAGCTTAAATAAAAAGATGCGATGAATAAAAATAATTTATATTCAAAATACAACTAAAAATACCGGTTCAGTATATAAATATTAAGTGACAAAATTAGCTGCAAAAGAACTCATATGCCAACTCAACTGGAGCGACTTGGCAATATTCTTAAGATTTTGAACAAATATCTGAAACAATTATATACGTACAGCTGCATGTTGGAGCCGGCTCCCAGCTGCTGTTAGCGAGACATCTGATCGAGGAGGTGCCATGGAGAGTAAATCCTGCATTGCACGCATACACCGTGACGTCACCGCCAAGAACGCCCTTAGACGATACAATATAGCCATTGTCGATGAGCGGTGTCCGGCCGCATTGTCCTCCTGTTTAAATGAATAACAATAATCTTCATATAAAAATGATAATACAGTCAGGACTCATTACAACGACACTGTTGGTTCCCAAAGGATATGTCAGTATATCGAATTTGTCAGTATATTGAATTTCATCATTCAGCATGTAATGATATGCTCATTCACTGGTATCTTTAGATCTATTATAAACATCTAATGAAAAATATTTTTGTGTTTAATATGTGTTCACTTCATTACACACATTACATATCATACACATAATACAACTTCTTCATTAAAATAATAACAACTTAAATAGTTAAAGATTTTTATGAAAATGATAAAACTTTAGAAAATAAAGAGCACATACAATGATAGGACTTTTAAAAGTTAAACCTTTAAAAATTGATTGCACGCTGTTTGTTGTCATAAGTTGGCAAGTGTAACAAAATTCAGCTGACAACAACACGTTGGTATTGTAATAAGGTGTAACAATCAACTGACCAAGCTACAATACCTGTTTTAACACCTTGCAGTCTTTTTTATACGCGCCCTTGACTGACCAAGTGTCAGTTTAACGAGTACTAATTGTATAGAAAATAACATGTTTGGTTTCCAATTTTATTGTGTCGGAGTCGGAATACGAATTTTCCGTTATAAAGGATTATAATAACGTTGAAAAAATTTGGTTCCCACCAATTCACTGTCGTTATTTGAATTTGTCAGTATAATGGATTCCGATATATTGAGTCCTGACTGTATAGTGATTCTCTGTATCTCCGAAAATTGGAGAAGTTCCAATCTTATCCGCGGGTACAAATACATTTATATATTGATAATGTCCGCAATGTTGTAAAAACTTTATTGTGACCAGTAGTGCACCGTGAAGCTATGACGGTTCTTTTTCTGTGTTCTGGACAACATTTATTTCTTTTCTTTAATGGAAGTTAATATTGCATTCTTTACATTAAGTTATCAACTCGTATGCTCTTATTTCTCTACATAAATGACATTTACATATATAATTCTTTTAATTAAGTTACTTCGTTTTGATATTTACATACATTTACCGGTTACCGCTTACCGACAGTCCAGTATAACAATATACTCTTAAATATTACGATAATCAGGCTCACTTTATATGAAGTCTAGATAACTTACGAGAACACGTCGGTATATCTGACATATTCCAGTGACCACCAGACATACATGACAGATTAATCGTTCGGCTGTATCCGGCACCGAAATAATATCCTTCTGCGCATGACACGGTCACGTGATCACCAAAGTCAAATGATTGTGACGATAACGAATACCCCTCTGCATTAAGTACAGGACACCCTGTTTGAAGAGAAAAAACAAGTTACCATAAAACTAAATATCTTGATTGCACTGTTCGATCAGATATTAATAATTTCAAAACGTAAATTAAAAAACAATAAAGATGACAAAACTGACAAGTTGTCATCGCAATGTCAAGGCATTGGTTTTCAAGGCATTGGTTTTCATCGTTCAAATCATCGCCACGAATTCCGCTGATCTACATTCATCACGAATAACGTATATACGTACCTGGCACGTGACTGGCGTGATTAACCATCATAATTATAGTTAGAAAGTTACCACAATTTTCTAAATTATGGCACAATACGGATGTTCCAGTTCTTGATGGCAACACAATTATTTAATATCTACAACCTTAATAATTTCAGTAATAAGTTATAATTCATTGTACAGAAATCATTTAAAACTTTCATCTTTATATACTTTACTTTAATGTTTTGTATTTATACTAGTATGCAAGTATGCACTTGTTATTTGGTCTCATTGAACTTTAAAGATAATATCATGTTTCAATAGTAGCGAATCAAAAAACAAAACAAAAATGATTAATACTGTGGCGTTCAAAATTGAATCAAAATATGAAGTGTATTGATTAAAACATATCTTAACATCTCGTTTATGTAAAATAGAAAGGTGAATATGTTCATATAAAAAATACCTGGTGAAAACGAGGCCATAAAGCCTCTACCATTCCTCCTAGAGCTTGTCTCCATGGTTACTATAACATAACTTTCAGACGTAATAGATTGTTTATGTAGAGAAGAATCTTTGTACGTTGTCACCGTTCCATCCGAATCTGTTACCTGCACGAGAAACAATTATGTACTTTATAGAAATAATAGAAATCTATGTAGATTATAACAAAAGCATTGCGTTACGCCGTTGTGACGTTGACCTCTGACCCGAGGATATATATGTGGAAGCACCATGACCCCTGAGACATTAAAATCATGATACTGTTCTAAAAATAAACATAGTTAATCTATCATTTATATTTTAGAATTTTAGAAAAAGTATTTTAATGAGATATCTGAGGTAATTGGCTGCTCAGGTTGGTCAATCTACTTGATATAATGCAATTTCATGAAAGGACTTTCTCAAAACAAATGCGATTCCAACATTAGATATACTGTTCAAACATACACACTGAGGTTCACTTAAACTGTTCATAAAAGTTTTGTTGTTTTTTGGTGTTTTTTATTGGGGTAGAGTTGTTGTCGTTGTTGTTGTTGTTGCTGCTGTTTTTCTTTTTTGTATCTATTTGGGTTGCTTTTTTAAATTTAAATCATATCTGATAATATAATGATGCCAATTATTATGAAACAATTCAGAGAAAAGTAAAAATATTTTTATAATACCGGAACTTACTATTATTCAATTCAATCTCATGTGAATAGTCAGATTTGAAACTAAAAACTTCTAACATAAAATAATTAAAAATTAAATAATTAATAAAAAAAACGTTGCAACATACCGTGATATTGTCAGCCTGTTCTAAATCAAAATCATCAAATTTTACAGTAATACTCCGATCATCTGATGGGGCGTTCAAGGTCCATTGGCATTTCATCAAATCTGGATAACTATTAGTGGTGCCATACCCAGGTGACCACAGACTTCCGCTTCCGGTCATTGTTACATCACAACCTAATAACATATATACATCCGATCATATTGTTTTATTAAATATTTAACAACCGTAAATAAATTCTACTATTACATTCAATCACTTTTGTAAACAACTTGACAAGATATTAACATGGCGACAAACTATCTTTGAGAAAATTCGAGAGTTATATTGTAAAAGTATTGCAACAAACCTTGTTTGTACTCAATCAGTACACCGTTACATTTCCAATGTTTGTTAAGATCCATTTTCACGTGTACTGTGTTACTTGTAGAGATTATGGTTGTAGTTGATGACGCAGAGGTCAACGTATGCAAAAGGTCATAGTCTTGATCGTATATATAGATATTATCCCCGCAACATAGCTCTATGGTAAGAACCTACAATTGAAATTGATAATGTAATGTCACCTTATTTTCCTATTGATAAAATGTCAGAGTTACGTGTATGGAGGGTGATTTATGCCAAAATTACATCTTGCTTTCTTACGTTACATCGTGCTTTCTAACTTGTACACCGTGCTTTCTAACTTGTACATTATGCATTCTGACATATACATCTTGCATTCTGTCTTTTACATGTTGCTTTCTTACATGCACATTATGCTTTCTGCTGTGTGCGACTTGCTTAATTTTATGTTGATGTCGTTATTTAACGATCAATTATTATTCATTTGTTGATCTGGTATATTAATTCAATAAATTAACCTGCAACTGTTTGTATTTGGGTCTATTTACTCAGTGGAATGACGAATGTCATAAGGTAGAATGCGCATAGCCGAAAGCCGGAATGCAGCAAGCATAATACAACGCGACATCTGGTGTAATAATATGTGACATCCAAATTATGCTAACAGGTGGCGCTACAGTTATATTCTCGGTAAAGTCCGTATTGCGGTTCGGATTCCGTTTACCAAGTTACGTCCCTTTGTTTTAACATTTCCATTTGCACTCATGGAGGAAATATACAAAAGGATTTAACCAATTTTTATATTTATTAATGAAACTCTGTAGGTCAAATTATATTTCCAGCTGACAATGACAAGTTGCACATTTCCAAATCAATGGTTTTAGAATTTATTTTTTTTTCATCAACAAAATAATTATAAAATAGAACAGTTGTTCAACATTGTTCAAAGTGCTTTGGCCATAAAAAACTTCTTATTAAAATATTTCATCCTCTTGAAAAGTTCTTAAATTTTGAAATGGCTTATTTCCAATACCTGTGACCATCCACAACATTTTAATGTGTTTCTATTAATTGGGATATTTTCTTGCCAATTTCAAACTAATTTTGTACACACCTTAGATTTTTTAAATTCAACTTGTCAAAATAATGTCTTTTTTTCACTAAGTTGAAATTATTCACTAAGATGCTTTATGAATACGGCCCCAGGTTCTTGTTCACAGTGTCAGCTTAAAACTGAAGGAACTGCTGCCAAAATCAGCTGATTCTGAGAAAAAAAGAAGAAAAAAAAGGCAATGTCTAGTCTGTCAATCTGTGAGAGTTTAGCTTTAGGACGAATGTTTTCATAATATTAATTGATGAGTACATAAAAACAAAATGTACAAAAAATGTCCCAAGAAATGGTTATAAAATCAAATGACTTGTTAATAATATATTAATAAACATTTTTTTCTACATTCTCAGTGGTGTTTGTATTGCAAATACTATTGCCTTAAGGTATAAAACTTTTTTGTTTTAAATGAGTAAGATCTGCTATACATTTCCAATATCATGAACGCTATAATTAAAGAAAACTACTAAAAAGGCATCTTCAGCCAAACATGCAATATGCATTTTATAACCATTTCTTGGGACCATTTTTGTACATTTTGTTTTTATGAACTCATTAATTAATATTATGAAATTCCTCGTCCTAAAGCTACACCACGGTGCATATTTATATCGGTACCCTCTTTGCGAAATCTGCTTAAACGGTACCCTCTTTACACATTTTTTTTTCTTTTCTTTTTTTTTTTGGTTTTACGTCACATCGACACAGTATAGGTCATATCGCGACGTTCCAGCTTTACTGGTGGAGGAAGACCTCAGGTGCCCTTCCGTGCATTATTTCAGGCACGAACGGGCACCTGAGTAGAACCACCGACGTTCCGTAAGCTAGCTGGATAGCTTCCTCACATGAAAAAATCCAAAGTCGGGATTCGAACCCACAGCGGTGAGGGGCAAGTGGTTTGAAGTCAACGACCTTACCCACTCGGCCACGGACGCCCCCTCTTTACACATGCACAGGTCATTCTCTGCTAAAAACAAACCAGCGACTTCATGTACTGCAACTTCACAATAAGCTACAAAAATCGACATGTCTTGCCTCGCCCATCACCTCGACATACTTTTCGGGCTGCAATGAACCGTGGGCTTGATTTTATATGCATCATACATATTTAATATGTTCATTTGCATATCATCTTCGGACAAATGGCAGTATATAGTCAAAAATAAATGTAAAATTCATAAAAACACCCTACTTTCGGTTTTGCAGCGTACCCTCATGGCACAACATATGCTTTTATTTGCGTTAATCGTTAAATAGGTATGTAATATTTCTTACTTTTGTGTAAATATTACATACTTAACGATTAACGCAAATAAAAGCATGTCGTGCCTTGTGGGTACGTATGTGTTAAAAAAAGAGAGGGTACCTGTGATATAAAAATTCAAATGAAGAGAGGTAGCCCGTGCCGCTGCAAAAGAAAAAAAAAGGCAAAACTGTCTAGTCTGACAGACTAGACAGTTTTGACATTTTATTTTATTTTTTTTCTCAGAATCAGCTGATTTTGGCAGCAGCTCCTTCAGTTTTAAGCTGACACTGTGAACAAGAACCTGGGTCGTATTCATAAAGCATCTTAGTGAATAATTTCAACTTAGTGAAAAAAGACATTTTTTGACAAGTTGAATTTAAAAAATCTAACGTGTGTACAAAATTAGTTTGAAAATAGGCAAGAAAATGTCCTAATTAATAAAAACACATTAAAAATGTTGTGGATGGTCACAGGTATTGGAAATAAGCCATGTCAAAATTTAAGAACTTTTCAAGAGGATGAAATATTTTAATAAGAAGTTTTTTTATGGCCATGCAAAGCACTTTGAACAATGTTGAACAACTGTTCTATTTTATAATTATTTTGTTGATGATAAAAAATAAATTCTAAAACCATTGATTTGGAATGTGCAACTTGTCATTGTCAGCTGGAAATATAATTTGACCTACAGAGTTTCATTAATAAATATAAAAATTGGTTAAATCCTTTTGTATATTTTCACCATGAGTGCAAATGGAAATGTTAAAACAAAGGGACGTAACTTGGTAAACTGAACCCGAACCGCAATACGGACTTTACCGAGAATATAACTGTAGCGCCACCTGTTAGCATAATTTGGGTGTCACATATTATTACACCAGATGTCGCGTTGTATTATGCTTGCTGCATTCGGCTTTCGGCTATGCGCATTCTACCTTATGACATTCGTCATTCAAGCTGAGTAAATAGACCCAAATACAAACAGTTGCAGGTTAATTTATTGAATTAATATACCAGATCAACAAATGAATAATAATTGATCGTTAAATAACGACATCAACATAAAATTAAGCAAGTCGCACACAGCAGAAAGCAAAATGTGCATGTAAGAAAGCAACATGTAAAAGTCAGAATGCAAGATGTATATGTCAGAATGCATAATGTACAAGTTAGAAAGCACGATGTACAAGTTAGAAAGCACGATGTAACGTAAGAAAGCAAGATGTAATTTTGGCATAAATCACCCTCCATATACGTGATTAAGTCATGTCCTTTAATACAAAAAATATTTTGTAATTATTGCTACTTTAAATGTTTATTGACATGACGAGACTGGATTCTGTTTTTCTGATAACATGAATGTTCTTTCTTTTTTGTAGATATAGATCTAGTACTAGTAAAATCTCTGATCATTCGCTACCCCCCTTTCTCCAGATTGCGGAAAATGATTAAATATTGAAAAGCGTTGCAAACCTTTTCACTCAAACTGCGCTAAAATAGTTACACACGCTTTTCAATTTATTTCTGCGTATTTTTCTGTTTTAAGTTCCCAAGCTGATATATATAAGAAATAAACATTTGACGTTTAACGCTTTTGAACCTCAATGGAGTTCCTCAAAATATAACATTTCAGCTGTAACGATAGATACAATAACCTAACGGATACATAACATTTTTGAAGGGTAATTACTATTTCTTTTTATAGAATATTGGATATAACTTCTTTATAAAATCACTAATAAATATTACCTCAAGTGCGATTAGATTATTAGCTGATGTAGTAATTGTGTATTCAAGTTCCATATTACCAATATACGGGTACGGATAAAGGGGCGTGGCCAACTGTTTGGGGCTTGACGTAGCAACAAGTTGACTTGGTAACAAAGGCACAGCACCTGAAATTGAGTACAATTTCTAACATCTGATCCACAAAGTAGCACAGAAAGATTTAGTAATGTAATTAAAGAACTCAATTTATATTGATTATTTCAGCTACATTGTCTGACAAGTCCTTGCAATTTATATAGATCACTTTTTGATTCCACTTCCGACAATTAATCATTACTGGTGTCATAAAGGAAACATTGTCGAAGGATGAGAAGACCTCAAACATACAATATAAGAGAAAGGCACCTTAACACCATGCCATCGATCCCCTGTACCTACCTTGGACAGAAGTATCTCCATAGCAGTTTTGTATCCAGAGTTGTGAACCGGTTGATTTTTGAAGTACAGGTAGTTTGTTGAGAAAGTAGCAGATCCTCTCTGTAGAATCATACCTGTTATAGTTTGACATGTTTTTAATTTTTATTCCCACAATAATTTATAATTAATCGACGACTTATATGGTAAGTATATATCTAGTATTGCTATATAGTTCATGTATACTTGAAAAATCATCATTATTTGAACTTCTGTTGTAAAATATATCAAACTTTCTAAAACATTATAGCTAAAAGTTTGTTTCTAGAAGAGTAAGAAAAAGGAAACACATAGGATATCTTTTATGTTTCTCTATAACATTTATTGAAATCAATTCCAATCTATCAATTTATACAAATCTGTTTACATGTACGTGTAGGTTTATTTTGGGTTAAGTGCTGAAGGAATATACAGATGATTTTAAGACGTTCTGAGCAGTGGGACGGTATTTCTTGGGTCCGGGTTCAAGTCCCAGTTTGGCTGCACATTTTTCTAATTCAACGGGAGGTGTGGCGGTTTTATGGCTTCAGACATAATAGCCTATCCCGAAGATTTTCATCAATTATCCATATAAACGGAAGTAGAATGAAACAGAATCTCTAAAGAAAGCTCAACAGAGCAAAATTGAAAATGTTGCAGGCTCGGTTTGATTGAGCCTGTTCATGGACGGTAAATTTACCTGAATCCAACACATGTATTAACATCGCTACAATCACTGATACATCTATCTGTGTTTTGTCGTGATGATAATTCTAGACTTCTGTACATTATACCAGTGTTAGAGTATGTGTAATCAACTATCTGTGAGTAACTACACTCTAAACCTGAAAATATTGTCAATTATATCATTTCTGACAAACAAAATTACAGCTGAATATCATGTTAAGTACGGTTAAGCATTGTCGGCATTGTTTGATTTTCAATAACTGGGCCCAAAGTGAAAGTAGAACAATTTGCATATAGAAACAAAGCTCACAGTGTAAAATGATAAATAATTTGCAATTATGTTTACGGACTAATATAAATAAAACTAAAAATGATAAAAAATAAGAATATTTGCCTTAAATGTGCCCAATTTCCGAAAACTAATAAGGTTTATGCACATTTCTTGAATGACAAAATCCAGTTTAAAGACTTAAGTAGGGCAATGGAATGCCATTCTTTGCATCAAACATAAAGAACTTGCAAAAACCTTAAGGACTGACTTAAATAATTTGGGGAGGAAATGAAACTATTCTACTTTGCAAAGTGTATCACATATAGTGGACATATTTTGTAATACACACATTGACTTCTTAATTTAAAACAGGTACATGTATATATATTAGTTACGTTATGTATTTACTGATAATGTATAACAAGTAATGTATTATAATGTATAATATGACAGGTGATCTGTACAATATTTTTATTACTTGTACTCCAAGAAGCTTGGAACCCGGTATATTCCACGCTTGAATCAGATATGAATCTGACAGTCAAACAGTTGTAGCTACTGACGAACGTATAGTCTGACATAGAGCCGGACAGACGAACGGACAGCTCGCTAGTAGATGACGTCATACCCCCATCATATATTTCTACAAAGTCAGTGTTTTCTTCTGTTCGGAAATCAGTAAACTGCAATAAAGTATGACACAAATTTATGTATATTTAAAGTATCTAATGTTTGTTCGGACCTACGTCGAACTTTTCTATGTCCAAGGTGTTGGCCATAATGCGATAATTCAATGATTTTCTCAAGTTCACCATAGGTTAACAGGTACATACATGTATATGCATATTATTATGACATACCTATACTGTCAATTAGTATACATGTACTATAATGATAATAATGTCATTTCTTAAAGCTTGGCATTAAATTAATGACTTCAAACAGGTTTATTAAAGTTACACAATAATTTACACTTTCCCAATTAAAATAGTGCTAGGTCTTCACAAACGAGAGATCAAAATCTTCTTATATTTGCATTTAGAGTTCCCAGACGAGCAACATTGTGTCCAGGATATAATTATGTAGAATTTCACATTATAATATGTTTACCTGTAACACAATTCGATTCCCAGGTGAAGATTTTATGAGCCAAGAACATGAGACACCGGGGTTGTATAAGCCGGAGGTTGTTTTTTGAAGAGGTATCTGTCCGCTGTTTGCTTCATACTCAAATGTACAAGCTTGTCCTGTAACTATGTGCATTGTAAATGATTTTACATTATTAATATCATACCCATTGTTATTACATTAAGTATAATACTATGTGTAAGAGAGACCCTGTTTTTTCACATTTAGTGCCGCTGACATGCAACGCTGGTATCGTCTTCTATCTAAATTGAAGACTAAGCGCTTTTGGCGTATATCTAGAGCGTTTCTTAAAATCAAAATTATAATCAAGTGTACACCATGGCTCATACAACCCAATTGATGTACATATATATAGTGGTGTATTAAGCTTTTCTCTTTGTTTATGTGCATCCTAGCTCTTAAGATGTCATAGTGAGTTCCGGCAAGTTTCAATACACAATTATTACGTCATTTACAAAGAATAATTTGAAAAAAATGTTCTTGGAAACGGGTAGATTATTACGAAATTAAATAAACAAGTAAAAGTTTTTAACAGAACAGAATAACTTACTACTGTTACAATTTTGTTCGTCCTGGTTGTTACCACAGTCATTTACACCATTACACAGAGCAGATACCCCCAAACATTTGCCATTACACATGTACGTGTTTCGTGTACCTATAATATTATAAACAACTATATATTGAAAGTAAGTTGAGATACTATACCATGCTGACCATTGGGTAAACTACATTAATCGCAGAAACTTGATGAAACCAAGGAAATTCAAACAGACTATATCTAATTTGAATAAGTGAATGCACAAAATATGTTCTTTCTAAAGCAGTACAAATTTACTCGTTTCTGGGGCATGTAGTGACTTTAATATATCAAGTATATTCCTTTGATTTATTCTTTCAAATGCAACACCAATTATGATACAACATGTAATGTCAATTTAATCTATGCTAAGATTGATATAATACCAGTATATATTTAGGTCTAATATAGAGAAAATGCATAATACGACAATATTATTCTTTAGAATCACATATCCTAAATAATGAGTTTTTAGCTCTGTTAATAACATATGTACAGTATATACATTAACAGAAAATGTATAAACACAAGTCACGTGATAAATTACCTCCAGGACATGGGTTCATCTCGCAGACAAAGTCTCTAACTCTACCACAGTCCCCCATATACCATTTCCTGTCACCTTGTGTGGAGGCGTATGAACACATGCCAGCATGTATATCTGGTTGCCTAGGTCCCCATTGACCAACATGTACAAAAGTTGATCTTCCATCACTCCACTGACCAACGTAGCTAGGTTGGGTATTGTCCGGTCTATGATACCCTGTTAGATTATATTCAATGTTTTTTATAACGGTGTAAAAAATTGAGTATATCTTCAAGAGGAAACAGAAAAAAACAATTATGTTTATTATCTCAAAAAAATCTCATTTTGTCTATTTTTAAGAGTTTAATAGTTTCTCCTCTTACCTAATTGTTTTCAGTTGTGAACACATACCGCCAGAGTGTTTTATACTTTTTATGTGTTCTTTTATAACTGATCTTTTATTTTTCCTGTTCTTACTTGCGAGTATTTCAAGAAAACAACATATATATAGCTAACATTTTCGTCAGCCTTAAACATATTTACTGTGGGTTTATATATATATACAATATAGTTAGTTTGTTATTTCTTATATACTATAATTATTACAATACTGACGTTCATGTTGTAATTTATATTTATATTTACCATTGTCATAATAAAAGTATATTAATACATTTGAAATTAGTTAATTTAACAGCAGTAAACACGAGGAATGTAACATGTTATTTAATTAACCTTGGAACAAACACAAATGTCAAGGTTTATTGTTTTACATAGTACATACGGGAGGGGTTTTAAGTCGGGTAGACTTTTGTAGCATTATCTGGCAACTAACCAGTGTCATCTAGGTACAAGAGATTTAAAGCCGACAATATTAATCTTGCGACATTTCTTTTTAAATCAAAACTAATTTTAGAACAAAACATAAGAGAAACCAAGGAGAAAAATGACAACCAAGGCAATTTACTTGTACAAGAAAATGCAGAAAGACTAAAACAAGAGGGCTGAATACATATGAGCCGCGTCACGACAAAACCAACATAATAGGTTTGCGACCAGCATGGATCCAGATCAGCCTGCGCATCCGCGCAGTCTGATCAGGATCCATGCTGTTCGCTTACAAACCCTTAGTCCAACTAATTAGACTTGTCAAAGAGACACCGAGATAATTTTGGACGGGCGCTGTCTTTTTCCAAGTCCAACCACGAACTGCATTTTTATGCACGGACGCTTCCCAATTAGAAGTTGTTGGGAGCGAAAACTAAAAAAGTTTCAAAGAAACGGTCTACATTACCTGAAAGAGAACCGTTTTTTATGCAAGGTTCCAAGTTATCATACTTTAAAGTCGAACACAAGTCTAAATATTCCACTTTAACTTTTTAAATCGTTGAAAATTATTGTAAGCGGCCATATTGGAAAATGACGCAAGCGGTGACAGGGTAAAACAGGGTAAAATTGTAAAATTTCCATGGTGTAACAAAGGTATCGGCGTCAATCGATTGTGTTTGTCAAGCTTTATAATATAATTTGTTTAAGTTATTTATTATGAATTATGCAGGAATAACTTTTTTTTTCACACAAGAATATTTCAGCATTAAAAATAAAATGTGAAAAGGATATTCTGATAACCTTACTTAGATGTCCGACGTCAGATCATACTGCATTTTAAAAGTCCATTTAAATTGTCAAATTAGAAATTGTAATGTCGGATTTTTTAACATCTGTGATCATTAGGTGAAATTTCTGAACTGCCTTTTTTTTTATAACCCTGCCATGATTTCGCACATATGAAAATACAATGTAACTGTAGGTACATCTTAATGAATTATGAGTATACTATACATATGATGAAGCAAAGAAGAATTTCAATTTATATTAAACTCCCTATCAATTTCTAGTTTATTATCTTTAAAAAAATTGAGGACAGTTGTGTAGGGGAAGAAGTTCAAAACAACCAAAAATAACTTTAAATTCTGAGAAAAAAATCTTAAAATTTCAAACTATAAAATGGAATTTCAGACAGTCCTCAGTAAAATGCATTTGTCGAACAGATATGACGGGGTTTATGATAAAAACGCAGCAAGCGGAAATTTAGTGACCCTTATTTAAGACGTAGAATAGCATAACAATGTAAGACAGATGGGAGAAATAGTCTGATTAGATTACTGTAGTCATCTGTTAGAACGACTGTCGCAAAATGACACCAAAACCTATATCCATTTAAAATTCCATATTATCTAGTTCCCGCTTTTCATTGAACGGCACCTCGAATGTGTTGCATTGAAAGTTCCATGATTACCGCCGTATTTTGTACACATCTGTGGGTGTTGATTAAAATTTCTACATTATTATGTTTAAGTGATGAATTCTGTTGAAACCGGCGCAAGGGAGCACATGTACCTACCAGAGCCGTCTTTGGCACCCATGTGTATTTATGTTTCGGTTTTGCAGTTTCAGGCGTTTTTTTTGGTGTTTTTTTTGGGAGGGCGGATATGTGGATAAGTTTTTTTCTGTTTTCTTTACATTTCTTTGCTTGCTTGTCGAACCTTGTATTGATAATCATTATCTGTTTGTTATGGTTCGGTTCGGTATACAAGTATAAAATATGATAAACAAGATGAACAAGGAAAGGCCGCGTTCAATGAACGCAACCCCCGCACGACCCAGGAACAAGAACCATTTGCAAGGAATCCAGGAGGATCCTAAACAAAGACAGGACGGCGCAAGAGAGAGCACGGTCTGGCTTATCACTAAAATGATACAAAATGATAAATATAAAGAAATAATGGTAACATACAAGGAAATCAAAATCAAAGAAAATAAATGAATGATTAATAGGACCATTAAGTAAACTGGCACAGTGGTAGGGGATAGGAAATTCGGGGAAGGGGGAGGGGGCGGAATAAAGAAATAAAACTAGGGGCAAAGGGAAGATACTTACCATAGACGAGAAAACAACAAGGGACACAAACAAAAGTGTCACCAAAACAGTATGAAACAACAAGACATACACCTTATACATGTATAGGTCTCTTAATCTGTTCATTTGAAAATTCTTATCTTCTCGATGACTTTTTTTTAATATCCTACTTAAAATTTATTTCAATTAAAATATGTGACCCTTCCCTTATAGTTACACAGCATATGGCTGGATCACAATAAAGTTCCTTTTTCAGTAAATTAATAAAGTATGTCAAGAAGACATTTAAATTTATCAGTAGGTTTAATATGGTATTATAATATATATCAGCAATAGGTGAAAAAGAATTCCTTTATTTCTTTTACATTCTTAATTGTCATTTAAATATGCATGTATAAATGAAGTCAGTATTTTATCGGCAGTCATTAGCAGTAAACAAGAAGGCAAACCATCTATTGATAAATGTTGAGTACATGTATTAAAACATTTAAAAAATATTAAACAACAGTACTTGTACGGAGCCTATTTGCTACCATTGTATTTTAGGTTTAACACATTGATACTTTTCAATAGTATTTAATAATGCACAAATTTATTTAAAAATAATGAATAGATTTATTTCCCCGATATTTTTTTTGAAGTTTAATCTTCATGCGTAACCCACACTTACCTGCTAGACACACTGGTTGCTACTACAAGCTTTCACGGAATCGATTTTTTACGATGACGTCATAACATGTCCGCCGGAGATAGTGTATACAGTACAAATTTGAAATAAATCGCATGTATGCGTTAAGACAGGTACAATCTAATATTTTTTCTAGGAGAAGTTAGTACTAGAATTTATATTCTATTGATTTTTAGAGGACATTGAAGTTACTTTCAGGTTTAAGCAGTAAAAATCAGTCCAAACTATCGATAGTGTTGCCGGTAGATTTTCCGTGCGTAAAAATGACAGTTAAAATTAGGCGTAACGGTTTGACAGTAAGAAAAAAAAAGTCTGTAAAATGGGTCAAACCGTTCACGCCAAATTAATTAGGCTAACAAACCCTATGACAAGTAGAGAAACTGATAGCGAACAGCATGAATCCTGATCAGACTGCGCGGGTGCGCAGGCTGATCTGGATCCATGCTGGTCGCAAATGACCTATGTTGGTTTTGTCGTGACGCGGCTCAAATAAGGTCCTTACGATATAAATCACAGTAAAAAATTAAGAGTGATTTTAGTTGACAAATTTATATCAAATATAAGTATACGTTGCATGGTCGAGTCGTTAACGCGTCAGACTAGTAATCTAATGATCGCTAACCGCATTGGTTCAAACCCCGTCATGGGCAAGTCGTTGTTTTCTTAAGCAAGAAACTTTACACTTATTGCTCAGTACTGGTTAGTTCCAGGAACGGATTCGAAAGTGTGTCTATAAGCTTATAGCTTCCTACACAATCGAATTAAAATAAATTCTGTATATAAACCAATTATAAGTAACTACACACGTTAGTGTTCATGTCAAACATTACCTGTCCATATAGAATTGGCGTTTGGCAATTTCCTGGCCACCTCTGTCATAACCTCGTCATGTATAACATAACCAGTTGGTTCAACGAGTCTAGCACCATATCTGAAATACAAGTACTAGTAGTAGTCGTGTTGGTGTAGGGGTGGTGGTGGTTGTAATGGTGGTGGTGGTGAAAAAGGTAGTGATAGTATTCTTTCTGAAGGAGGATCGATATAGTTTTTGTTTGGCTTCTAGCATAACTTAGAAATACTGTACTTGCTTGCTTTGATTGTCAAATAATCATAGCAAGCTATAAGCAATAAAGGACAATATGCATATACACATGTACCATAGCAAGAACATACAGGTAATGTCGTTGAGCGTCTTTAAATGAATGTCATGTCTATGGAGAATATCTAAGACAGATAATTACGTGAGATCGTTAAAACGCAGAAGACGAGGAGATAGGTGTAAATTGTCAGCTACAACCAATAAAGGACAGTATACCTCAATACATGTACAATAGCAAGGGCGTAATGTCGTGGAGCGTCTTTAACTGAATGTCATGTCAATGGAGAATATCTAAGACAGGTAATTACATGAGATCGTTAAAACGCGGAAGACGAGGAGATAGGTGGCAGTAAAACCCGAAATAACTTTCTATTGATTTACAAACTTTTCTTTTATTTGAAAGAAAATTTGTTTCCAATATCCAATTCACTCACCTCAAATCAATACGTAAATCTATAATTTATTTCTAGTGATCTATAATTTAACCAGTCAAAAAACTTTAGACTACTTGACAGTTTGTTTTCATATTTGACTTTTATTCTTTACAATAATTGAATAACTGTTTATTTTCGGATATTATAACTGTGTGTAACATCTATATATACAAGATATGTATTAACCATTCAACCACCAGGGCAGACAATATATCATAATATATATGAGAGAGCTAATGACCGACATCTAGAAAGACATCGGTTTGGCTGCAATCCCAAGCACCCCCGCACCCCCCCCCCCCACCGAGAGTAAGCGCCCAATCGGGGACGGCTCTCGTTTCACATTGTTTAATTGATTCTTAAAAACCCTTATACTGTATTCTTTCTTTAAGCACTGTAACTTTACATTTCATCTTATTTGTCGTTTTGCTACTTTTCTTGTTTCATCATATCAATTTTATAAAGTACAATATGTAATTTCCTTTTATTATACTAGTATACCTTCAGCGCAAAGAAAATCTGGTTAAATTGAACGAGTTAGTTTTCAAAGGAATCAAACGTATAAATTTAAACTCAATACACATTTGTAAAGGCATGAGTATAGAGCGTAGTTTGAAATACGGAAATCAAACCGGATGTATATATTCTTTGCCTTTTCTTGAAAACGACCATAACTTTTATCAGAAATCATATTGGTGTATGATATATAATCATATTTTCTTTGTAGAAAATACATATATTTCTTTCATAGAAAGAAAATTAAAACAGTTAACAAATCTTCCAAGAAAAACCATCCAATGAAAAATTCACAAAGTGTTCGCTCTATAGAGGTTAATCTGTACTTACTTTTGACAATATTCGTTGGCCCTGGACCAACTGTGTTTGAAGCCAACATACAAATAGCACCGCTCCTTGTACTTTACCCAGTCTGTATAAAATAATTACACATCAATAAACTGTCATTGAATTATAAACGAAATAATAACATATATTAAATAAACTGTCATTGAATTATAAACGAAATAGTAACACATAAATAAACTGTCATGGAATAATACATGAAATAAAAACACATGAATTAGCAGTCTTTGAAATATATATTAAATAATAATAAATGAATAAACTGTTGCGGAATAATATATGAAATAATAATAGATCAATAAGCTATAATTGATTTATATATGAAATGGTAGTACATAAATAAACAGTTGTTGATAAATATAAGGAATGTAGCAGATACATGTAATAAATCACATAACTTTATTGTAACACGTATCATAACATATTATTAACAAAACATCACAACCTGCGATTTATCAATTTACAGACTGCGAAATAAAAAAAAACAACATTAGTATATTACTTTATTCGTATGACATCATACAAAATTCGATCATCATTTTATTTAGAAAAGAAAGATATTTACCAGCGCTGGGACACTTTGTGGTCAACACTTGTGCAGACTGTAAAAAAATATTTATTTTCTTAAAACGAAAACAACAAAAACATTAATATAATTATAAACACATTTATACTTTTTTTTAAATGGTGGTGATGATGATGATGAGGACTATGATGATGATAACGATGACAATGGTTAATGACTATGGTGATGATGAGAAGGGTGGTTGATGATTGATAATAACGACTGGTAACGACGACGACACGATGATGATGATGATGATGATAATGATGATGATGATGATGATGACGATGACTACAGAAATCGAACCCAAAGATTGTCTTAAAATAAGGTTGATAATTACTGTGTATTGAATCACATGAACCTTTTGATAACCTAAAGATTTCTTTAAGAATTATAATTGTTTTATTTAGAAATCCATTCCGACAGTATTAATTACTGTATCTAATATTTATTTGTTTACTTATTTAGGATATTCATGCTTACGTAAAATTTAAAGACGACCTCCTATTGACATAATTGACATTTTGATTAACTAAATCAAAGTCCGAAATGTAGTTGTTGTTTTGTTGTTTTATGTTGTTGTTTTTTTTAACCAAAATATCTTAACGGTGATATTTTGCGGAGCTGACTATTTATGGTTTTCATTACATTACATACACATCTCAAAACAGAAACGAGTTAAGTCTCTCTTACAAGATCCTTATTTTAGAAATTAAAGATACTGACGAATTCAGACCGAATTATGTCCTCCGAAATGAGGAAGTAAACTAAATGTTCATTTCAAAATGAGATCTTGAAAAAAAAGCGTGAATCTATCTCGTTATTCAGGCACATTTATGGTGAATGGAGACGTAAATGAAACATAAAAATAAACTGTTTTACTGAATAATTGATGAGAACAGGACATAAATAATCAAGCAGATTTTATTATCGTTTATAACCAACATTCCCATTCACATATTGAAACAAACAATCGTCATCACTAACTAATATTTGTCTGTTTTCAGACTTAAATTAATGTTTACAAAATACAGTCATAATTAACACAGGTCCGCCTTTGATTAGTAAATTTTAAAGCATGAAATTGTACTATAGTTTTATTTACAATCTAATATTTCAATTCGATTGTAACGAAAGATAAAATTGGTTTTGATTCGATCCCGCATCCTGGACTAGCCATTCCTGGTCACATATGGGATGCCATGACAATAACCAAAGAAGGGCTCGAACCCAGTATACCTGTATTATGTTGCAAAATCCTTAATCATAAGACCTATTTTATTGAAATGTTTAGTTTAGTTTAAATATTTGTATTTTAGCTCTACTAACGACGATGTTTGATAACTCTAAGTACTTACCATTGTAATGCAAATATTACTTTTAGGCATTTTCTATAAAGAAGTATGTGTAATAAAGAACGCGCGCGTTAATTCTAGGTCAGGGTTGTAAAATAAACCTCGGTGACAATCTCTGATAAAATCAATAGCAAGTAACATAAAATTTTCAAAGAATACTATAGAATAATAAATACATTGTGAATAATACATAGTTGTAATGTGGTTTATTGTACTATAACAATGTCATAAATTTTGTTCTTAACTGATTTAATACAAGTGTCCATATACTTTGTTTTCTACTACATACTGTGTATGAAACCTGATATTATTTGAATAAAGTATGTGTATTAGAAAATTTCTATTGTAAAGCAATCAACTTGTGCAGATTATGTCTTCTATAATGTAATAGTATCTGCTTATTTCTACAAAACTTCTATAAATAACAACTTAACACTCGAATACAATATACGAAAACGCTAGTATGTCATCTACACGTTGTAATGATGAGTACCAAACAATAACGGAACATTACATGTACACGATTTAATATCATAATGTTATTATTATATATCATGTACCTGTCAGGTTTATATATTTTTGGTAGCTTAGTTTTTCTACATTGATAACTTTTAAATCTGTCCGTCTGTCTGTCCGTCCGAACTTACGAGAGAATACTTATAAGACTGAAAGGAACAATTGATAACTGTACTTTCTCTCTGATGCCATTCCTGTCTAATATTTTATGTGGTTATTTATATCCGATGTGGCTATATAACAAAAAGGAGTATCAAATTAAGTTCTGTCTCGTTTGAATGTCCGTCTGCCCGTCCATTCATCCATCCAAATCATTAACAACTGCTGATTTTAAACAATACATTTCGGGATACAATTAGTAGTACATTAATAACTAAACAATAAAAGGATCATTATAATAAGATAAGGATCAATGTTTGGATCGACTTTAAAAGCAGATGTCTTAAATGGTAATGAAGAGTTTGACCTTGAGTTTCATTAAGTCTGCTATTAAGTTAACATTTAGTAATCAACTAAAGACATTTTGAAATAGGAATTTTGATCCAAAATTTTGGTCATGATTCTTCATTCTTTGTGACCAGGTGACTTTGAGTGCGAGTAGACACTGGAGTAGAACCATCAACCCTTTGTAAACAAGCTGGATAACAACTTCTATAATTATACAACCATGCTACTTGTTACTTTTAATATACAATCGACAATCAAGATGAATAGTGAAGCAGGGATAAATCACAACGAAATTGACATGCATCGTCCGAATCGAACCCGAGTCGCCCGATGCACAGCCCAACGCTCTACGTGTTGAGCTGGATGGTTACTGTTAAACAGATAATTTATTATGAAAGTAGTGTCAAGCTGTTATTTTTTCTATTTTTATTCATCGTCTAATTTATGTTCATTGTTCCCATAAAGTAAATGTACAACTGAACAACCATTCGTACACCTTATGATTTTGTCGGGTATAGAAAATAAATTATGATTCATAACATTTTTGTTCAATATCATTATTTCAGTGGAATTTTATACAAAAGCGTTCAATTGATAATTGAAATTTGAGAATATGATATGTTCAGTACAGAGTTTAAAATAACAAAACATATTATCAGAAATATAGAGTATCTAATCTAAGTGATTTATAATACTTGTTGGTGCGGTCCCGAAGTGTCCTTACTTTCCCAGGTCTACTACCCCTCTAACAGTCTCTCCTTGCAAAAGAGTGACATGGTATAGATCAAAATAACTAATGTTTGCACGGGGTTCGAAACTTAAATTAGTGTTTTACAAACTATATAAACTTTTTATAACTCATGCGACAGTAGACTCTTCCATGTCCCGATGTACGCACGTTGTTAAAAGATACAAGATTTGTTTGTTTGAATGGATCGAGTTGAGTGCTTCCATTATAACAAAAAATGATGACAGTTTTATTCTTCCAATTCTTAAATCTTTAAGATCATTTTTACGCCGCGATCGTGTCAACTGTAATAAACAGATCTATCCTTCTAAACGGCCTTTGTTTACCTAATTATTAAAAATGTATGGTATGTAAAATAAACACTAAACTGAACCGTGCAGATCGATCTTTTAAATTTACAAAAGTCAAATTTACATTGAACTATTCGTTGTATTACATATATATAGTCAATAATTATTTAAACATTGTGCAAATAGAGCCGACTTTAGGTCGTTCCTCAAACGTTGTTTCGTTTTGTTTAATTATCTTTTTGTAACAATATAAAAAGAAGATCCGACTTGTTCAAATTTGTTTTTAAAAAATGTTCAAATATTGGAAATACTTCATTTCCGATCAGAAGCGAAATTGCTTTAAGATAATAGAAAACAAGCATTTTGCAATAAAGGTGTTTGTAAAAACTTCTTTTTTTAATGAAGTACGTGTAAAACGTTCCACCTTAACCTTTTTGCTATTGCTTAATAGGTCACATTGAAAATTTTGAGTTTTCAAAACACATACTATAAATATAACTTACTTACTTAAATACTTTATAAAAGCTTTTACTTTTTATTATTCTTGTATGGAATTATGGAACACTATTCCTTTAGAAATAAGAAATCCTACAAGTCTTAAATCAAATCAACTTTCAAACATTTATTATCAACAGATGAAATATAGACAATATACCTACATGCATGTTACTTAAGATGTACTGAATGTTATAATCTTTCTTATTGTATGTAATATGTCTTTTTTATGTTTATTGAAAGCCTTGTTAAAAATAAGATTGTTTAATATATATGTATGTGTTATCTTTCATGCTTAGGATGTATTGTTTCAACAAACTACCTTCGTTTCATTGTATTTATATTCGTTTATTATTATTTTTTAAGTTGTTTTTTACCTGATTTGTTGATCCTGTGTGACACATGTGTTTTCTGCTTGAATTGGCCCGTTTTAAAATATTAGATCAAATGACACTATCTTGTTTCAGGTAAACCTGTTATAGGGCTTTGAATTTATTTAAACATTCTATAAAGTATTTTTTTCTCCTTTAAAAGAATGCAATATACATCAAGTAGAACATGAAAACACTCGGGTATTGACTAAATGTCTCATGGTATAGTGCATGAATCTAATAAGTTCCATTCTACTCCTGAATAAATACATTTATTGTACAAACGTTACGGTATGAATGTATTTTTGATTTCCTGTATGCGGGATCAACGCATACATCCGCGGTGTTGAACGCATTCATCAGCGGTTGGGAACGTATACTTCAGTGGTGTTGAACGCATACATCAGCGGTGTGGAACGCATACATCAGTGGTGAGGAACGCATACATCAGCGGTGTTGAACGCATACATCAGTGGTGGGAACGCATTCATCAGCGGTTAGGAACGCATACATCAGTGGTGGGGAACGCATACATCAGCGGTGGGGAACGCATACATCAGCGGTGGGGAACGCATACATCAGTGGCGGGGAACGCATACATCAGTGGTTGGGAACGCATACATCAGCGGTGGGGAACGCATACATCAGCGGTGGGGTACAAACATACAAAAAAACTTCGTCGGGGACTCGAACTATCAGTTCAATGTTACGGATAACAAGTTGTCATTCTGAATGGTTTATATAGAGGGCATGGAGGAAGTGAGGCGGCAGGGGGTCATGGCCCCATTATTTTCGCTTTGTATTTGTTTGTTTACTTTGCATTTTCTTTCTTTCTTTTCCTTTTTTTTTCTATCTTTCGTTCAGGTTTCTTAACTGTTTTCAAAACGGGTATTTTTCTCATTTTTGATAAAAAAAATGCATGTATAGTTTTATTTACACAAGTTACACGTGAATGTTTACAGCTGTTTTGTTGATGAATACATTTTCAATTTATCAATACATTTCTAATATATAATTTAATCAATATTCTAACCATGATTTATTTTGTATTGTCTAACCGCCGCAAAACAAGCGCGACATCAAATATTTCGTTACACAATAATAGACGCGTTTGAGGATCTTTATCTTTCATGATGATCAAATTATACGGTCTTGAGTCAATATAACTTTATATAATTTATGTTCGATCTCGGTCCTGGCCGATACATGTCAAGCTATAACAAGTATAGACGGAGCTTCCGATTTTTTTAATTCATAAAAATGGTTAAAAAAGAAAAAATACCAATTAAAATTTGTGACGTTTTCAGGTAAAGTCACTTCGTATACAGTATATATACATTTTTGAAAATATATTATATGTTAACCAACGATATAAGCAAAATAAACGTAATTTGCAATGTCTGTCTTCAAAATTAAGTTATAGCAACTTAATTTTATTTACTTATAATCATTAACAAAAGACACACACTCTTATAAACGTATTGTAGACTTAGCAGACACAGGACCATAATCTAACACTTATTATAAAATACAACAGCTGTACTGTTCAAAATAAATATATGATCTGATTTTTTTATATTTTTGTTTATTTTTTTATTTTTTTATTTTTTAAATACTATTTGTGGTGTCATGAGATTTATTGATATAAAATGTTTATTTTATTTTTCCCTACAGAGATGTGCATATATTTATTTTCCCTTACAAAATGATCATTTGAAAACTGAAGAAATAATACACGAACTGAGATTTGTAAAACCCAAAGTTGAAATTTTACCATGTTGTAAGGTTAATGTGCATATGCAAGTGTTTAATTAATACTCTTTGCATGTGGAAACTTTAAAAAGAAATATTATAGTAATGTATTGATTTGTGTCGTAAAAAAAGAATGTTTCTAAAACCGACATAAATAATTCAGACGGAAACAAATAGGACATGTTCACAAAAGAAATATCAGAAAAATCAACGCCCTTCTCTTTGAAGATATTTACAGAACCTGCAGTGGATTTTAAAATAGTGAGAGAAAAAATGCGACAATTTGAATGTTGATAGACTTTGGTTGATTGCGTAACAAATGCAAACTTACAAATAAAACTAACTTTATGTAGAATGAATCATGACGACTGATATAGTACAATAAACAATAAAAAACAAGACATTTACTTCAAAAATAGAAATCATGAATTTATCATAGATTTTTTTAAAGCCATGTTGATGTAAAAAAAAATCTGACCTTCACACCAAAAAGAAGACTAACTAGTTTATAATATTTCATATAAATACTTACTGTTAACGGAATTATAATTCCAATAATTATAACTATTACTAACGTCTTTTGCATGTTTATACGTTAACGTAAAATCTGATTATTATCCCTCAATGCTGGACATTTCTATCTCATTAAAAAGACAGTATTTTGACAAAAGATAGGGTAACGAAAATGAATTAACTCTGATTTTGTCAATTCCAACTTTTCCTACAAGTATTTATAAATCCAGTTTCTATAGTAACAAAGCGCATTCAGCGTCCGGCACGAGTTGACACTATTCCAGCACGCTATTGAGTGTAATAAACGTTAACGGGCGGAACGGATACCGAACATTTTTTCTTATTTTTAAAGATCGCAGAATACAATACTTGCTTAACAATTGATTAGTTCTGCCATTGAAAATATATCTGAATAACGTATACAACAAATTGCGCCGAGACAATACGTTACCCACATTGATCTAAAAACAAAACCTGCCGCTTATATATTAGCGTATTTATTCTTAAAACCACCTTTAAACTCGCCTTTTCCACGAAAATTGATTACTAATATTAAAACAGAACACGCATTCAACGATTAAATCTGGGGAAAAAAAAGGAAAATAAGTTATATTATTACATAATATCATTTACATGTAATATGCATAATCGAATGTTTAAGTAAATGTAAAACATGTAATAAAATACAAATATACATGAAATAAATCTGTTCGTGTTTTTCTATATTTTAAAAGTAATCTCGTGTCTTTGAGGTCGACATGTTCTTATTAATATGTATATTTTTATCATTTAAAATGAAAATGTACGATTATTACTCGTATTATAGAGGCTTGTTCCTTGTAGATACAAGTTTTATGATATCACGTACATGTTATGTTACATCATAAAATGGAAGTTCGCGTTACATCACAACATATAACGTCAGTTTGTGTCACATCAAACATATCATGTCAGTTTGCGTTATGACATAACATATATAAAACAACAGAACAGAACAGACAGAACTTTTCTGTTCTGTTCTGTATATAAAACAACATACAATATGATGTCAGATCGATTTACATATCATATTCTATCGTATCATTTTAGATAGCATCGCGTCACATCTTACACATCATATCGTTACACATCACATAATATCGTTTTACTTTAGACAGATCTGCATCATTTCACATACATCATATTATTTTATTTCAGATAGTTCCTCGACAAAATCGTCACACACATCATAGTATGTGTTGAAGCAATCTAGTAAAATATATTCAATGTACTTGCCATTGTAGTGTTTTCTTTCTTTTTTTTAAAAGGCTCATATTATAAGCTCTACATATAAATTTACTCTAATTTTAATGTAATTCATTTCTTGTGCCATTTATATTGATTTGATGATCAAAGGGGCGTTTATTAGAGTAAATAAGACAATCACCTAACACACAGAACAATGGTCGTTATGCTATGACTCGGCGAGCATTCTTTGTTATACTACCTAGATTATCGCCCATACTTTGACAGTATTAAACAATGACTCTATAATCATTATCATTCATTATAGACAAAAATTTAAATTTTAAGTTTAAACTGAAATTAGTAGCCATAGATTTAAACTACATTTACTGACATTCGTTACGGCACGAACGTGACTCATAGGCGATAATTTAAACTTGACGTTTTCATGAAATTATTCAATGATTCAAATGAATGTATTTTGTAATTTTTTAAACAATTAGATTACCACATGTCTTTTAACCTTAAAATATCTTTAAAAAAATCTTTTCATTTAAATTGAACTTTTCTCGTTACATACTTTGGTTTACAAGGGAATTAACTCTTTGTTATACTGTTTTGTAAAATAATTGCGGTTATCGTTCTTTCCTCGTTATAGGTAAAACACGTCATCAAACGCGGATGACAAATACTTCTATGATTACAGTAAAAGATATAATTTATGCTCAAATATACTGATTTATTGCTATATAGTCATTTTTAAAACAAAATTAAACATTCTTTAAGTACACACTGAGAACATATGTTACGTTTTCAGGCCTCGGCATAAGTGGTGGTCAATTGGTCTGAGACCACCTGATTTTGGCAAGAGTCACCTGATTTTACAAGCAAATGGTCCATTAGGCTACTTGAATTTTCCCGTTCGTACAAGGTTCATCTAGGATGACGCATTTTATTTATGACATTGTATGGGATATCAGACAAACTAAGATTATGACAGCAAACAAAAGAAAGAAATTATATATCTAGTGATTTTGGCTAGTTATTTTCATTTCAATCAGAGATCCATTTTTTTCGCAGTAAAAATTACTTAAAAAGATATTAAGTACATTTAGCCAAAAATAAATAACTACAAACAAGCAACTGGGAGGTACAAATTCTTTATTATAAATCAGTGAGGAATATGCACCAAACTATAATGAAGGTTTTATTTTGTTTATCTTTTAGATGATATTTCCTTGTTTTCAAAGACACGAATAAGATAATTTGATAGTTTTATTACAAAATGTTAATCTATAAAAGATAATTCAAATTTTTATTATTAGACGTACCACGTATGCGTATTTGAATAACAGTAAGAAAATAAGGCGGACACAGATAGTTTCACTGTCACTTTTCCCTAACTTGAGTTGAGGGAGAAGTCACTTCAACATAAAAAATACCTAAATAGAGCCATGTTATGTATTTTAAATGAGATAAATACTTTACAATAGAAATCCTATTGACGTGCTCTCCTTAATTTCTGATTTATTTAAATGAAAATAATTATTTTGTTCAATTATTATTTATTTATAAGTTAGTAATACATCTCAGTCACTAATTTGAATTGTATTTTTTCTAAATCAAAAACAAAAATGAGGAAAAAATTATAAGAAATGAAGGGCCCCCTGACCACTGAAAGAACCACCCAGTGATCCGGCTAACCACATTTTAAACAAGTTAGTATCGAGACATTCACTGGAACCATTATTTGAAAGAGTTGAGTATATTTTCTTCCTGTATAAGTCATGCTTTATATAAAGTCATGTGCTATTTTATTTTTACATTAAAATTTTGTACTATAACAACTTCATTTTGCAACGCTTTTCACTCATACATTCCTGCATACATTCAAGGTACACAGTGGTTGAAGGTCAGATAATATAAGAATCTATTATAAGTCAGCATATTAGTATTTTATTATATGAAGTTTTCCGCCTTACTACAATATTCGTTAGATTAAAAGGGATTGAAGAAACAAAAGAATTAACAAACTGTCTGAATCGAAAAAAAATCCATTTGATCAAAATGACGATTATAGTATACAATCATGTAGATATATAATATATATATATATATATATAATATATATATATATATATATATTATATATATATATATATATATATATATATATATATATATATATATATATATATATATATATATATATAAGGTTCGTTAACAAAAGTTAGGTACTTTGAAATACGCCTTTTATTTTATCAAAATAACGATAATTTCATATATACATGTACGCAATAACTACAAGGTTAAAAACAATAAAATAAGTATTTTATTGGAATGACGATTATGTTACATTTATTTACTTTCAAGAGTTGGGTACAATGAAAAAATATATTTGTATATACAATATATGCAAAGCCGTAGTAAGATTGAGTGAACATACATCGAGGGAGAAAAAATAACAGCCGCTTATTCATATAGTCCCTAACCAGTGTTTATTTGCAGTTTAACACCGGTTTTATCTTCAATGTGTATATTGACAAAATCACGAGGAGTATTAAAGTATATATTATTCAATTCCAAAAATGTCCAAGCTAAGTAACATGAAATACGCCAGCATTCTGAACAATTGATACAGAAAATACTAACAAACACGTTTGTTTAACAACAGTTTAGCTATTGAAACATAGATAGATAACTGATAAACTATTTACAATATAAAGTCAAAATCATTAGGATATTCAGTATGCAATATGTGCATTGTATACATACAAAAGGGATGGAAGAGAAGGTAACAATTGAATACATGTATATTGGATACCATTTGGAAAATCTAATGTAATGTGATGACACATTAAATAATACACGCCACACGTAAAATGGTGAAACTATTCATTGTCTTGCACTTTATAAACATGCTGCCTTTGCAGCAACATTTGTGTGTGTTTTATATATAAGTTACATCCTTTTCAAATAGCCAATGTGTGAATCTAGCATGTCAGCTGCAAGGGTCGTGCTGATGCCGCTTGCTGTTGTAAAACTCATAAGTCCGGTAATAACGTCCCGGACATCATTGTGGGTAGTTGGCGGGATAATACTCTGAACAAATTCATCCCATTTAGCCTTCTCAAATATATTAGGAAGCATTCTATCTTCAAATATATATCCACCACGTATCACTTCTAGTAGTAATTTTCCGACCGCAAAGGAGTCAAGTCTGCGTGAAACTTTAATCTGTATTTTCTGATAGAAATGTTTTAGAACCGTTGGTGGGAAATACCTTGGGGTATTTCCATGTGATTCTGTAAAAAGGTTATCGTTTTCATTCTTCGCTGATCCAAAATCGCACATTTTTATAGTATTATTTTTTATCAAGATATTTCCAAGATGAATATCACAGTGAACTACTTGTTTTGAATGCATATATGTAACGGCACGTAGCACTTGATAAAACCAAGAGCAAATGATATGGGATGCAGGCAATACTTTGCTATCTTTTAAATACGCTTCTATAGACATGCCCCATGCTTCTAACAAAACGTCATGAATGAACACTTCGCTTTTTATAATCCCAAAAAATTTGATTATATGGAAGTGATTCAAATCCAGCAGTGATGTAACTTCTCGCGCCAGTGATTTATAATGTTTTGAATCCTTATCTTCTGACAAATCGACGCGTTTTCTAGCAAAAGGGAAATTACTGGTCTTGTCAACACATATATGAACTGTCCCAAAGGCACCTCTACCTACTGTTTTTTTAACATCGTAATGAGTACCTTCTGCATATGTATTTCCATTGATCAGCCGTAATGAAAAGTTGTGTTGATACGACTCTAGAATAATTCCTGCATTTGAGCACCCTTTTTGTTTGACAATTTGCGTAACAAAGTCAGCTACTGCACGTTCATGACCATAATTGATTTCATTTGAATTAGGTGAAGAAACTTGCCGAACCTGCTCTCCTAGATATACAGATCGAACACCAATATCGGGATCAGGAACACCTTCAGCCATAGCAAATCTACAAAAATCTTTTGGAACACCGGTTAAAATTTAGCTGATCTACAACTTTGCCATTAACTGTACTAATATAACTTTGAGTTATGAGTTATATGGTTTATAATAATTCACTTGTAGATAAAACTTAAAGAAGCGATGATTAGCATTCCCTGTGAAAATAAAAACAAGATATTGTGACTTTAAAATATAAAAATTCATACAACAATCTTATATTTAATTTATAATTATTGCTTAAATCTTGTACATGTATAATGCATTGTTTAAAGTTTTGTAAATTTATACAATACAAAAGAAGATAAGATTTCATTTTTGTAGGTTTTACATTTTAAAAGTATGTGAACATGTTACCTCACCTTCGTACAAAAAGTATCGATTGGTACTACATTTGTATTCTATTTACACAAGTGTAATTGATCAAAAAGTCTTTCTACCTTACATAATCTTTAGTGTACACATTTACGCTCTGTGTACTTGGATATGGCCAAAATATTTAGTAAGTAACCCGGAAGAAGTGATAATATTAAAAGTTTAGATGTTGAAAATGTTAATTTTGATTTAACATTTACAGTATAGCCTAACATTGTCTAAAGAAATGACATTAAGAGATCGAGTTTTTTATTTGTTTATTTTTTTTTATTTTTTGGTTGGGATTTACGTCGGGCATACACAGTATAGAGACTTTCCAGCTTTACTAGTGAATGAAGAACACAGGTGCCCTTCCGTGCATTATTTCAGCTAAGAACGGTTATCTGAGTAGGACCACCGACGATTCGTAAGCTAGCTAAATAGTTGCTTCATATGAAAGAAACCAAAGGCCCTGTCGGGATTTGAAAAAACAGCAGTGAGAAGCAAGTGGTTTGAACTCGGAATAATACATGTAGATAAAAGTATAAACAAATACAACATACATTTTAATAACTTTTTAAAGTATTCAAATTGTTTTATTACGATAATCAAATTATGCTATGTGTGAAAGTAACAAGAATCTTACCAGTGATCTAAGAGAGCTGTAAGTAGGTGTATTTATGGATCAAAAGATGATGATCTAACATCAAAAGATAATCTACGAAATGTTCATGATCCGTTATCCATTTAATTCACTTACTATCTCGTTTAAACTCTCTTTTTATGATTCGCCCTATATGATTGTGTAACGAAAATGCGTATGGCTACAGTTAAAAAACTGTAATGGTAAATTATACAATCAAGATTCGTTTTGCTTGAAATACCTTCTATATTTATACGGCAATTTAACATAATTTTCAGGGGGAAAGGGTGCAAAATTCCGCCCGTTCAAAATATAATGTCTGCAGATCTTTAAATGTCCTGTTGACAAGCAGGAAAGACAGGCCAGTATAATGCGGAATATTCAATATTTAATTCCGGCGACCAGCTCACAATCGGCCGTGGCTTCACCTTCAGGCGCTAGGACGAAAACCGGGCTTGTGTTTTCGTTGTGGAAACCAGGTCCTTGGCAGGCTGACTGTCAGATGAGGTCTACGAGGTACAGGATGTTGAATCGTCTCAAATAAGTAGATTCTATTTATTTTTAAAAATCTACCTGATTAAAACAGAGTAAAAAAAAACTTAATTAGTCTGCTCTGAAAACCAGTACTTGTGTTTTGGAAGAAATTAAAATAAATATATGTCATGGGATTATTGCACAGGTACAACTGCCCAAGATGTAGTTAATCCTTCAAACGTTGCTTTCAGCAGGTCTGGGAGACCCAGTTTGGCACGTGAATTTTGATGTATTCAAATATAAATTTACTTATCAAGATCTGTAACAAAAAATTATATTTCAACTGTTAATTATTTAGATCTACATTCGATATAAAGGCTGTCTACCACCATATTGAGATATTCAGGGACCACCGAATATTTTTAGAGAAGAAGATAATATTAAAACATTTTATATATTTAATGTATTGCCATTTGGTATGTAGCAAACCGGAAGAAGTAGTTTGGCATTGGCCATAAGAGAGTACTTTTTCAAGACGATGGTATGGGAGCGAACGTTTCCTTCATAAAGTCTTCCGGAGTCAATAATTTTGTTAAATTTGACTTGCAGGCATTTTTTAGTTTATAAGCAGACTAAAGATGTTTGAGGTACCTTCTCAAATTGGCGTCTGGCTTGGTTTTGTTTGGAACACGAAATCAGGCAATATGTCTGTTAAAGATGAAAGAATCCAGATTTTGTTGTGTTCCGTAAATAAGAATGTGACTGAGGATACCATTTCATGCACGAAAGTTGCAGGATAGATAGTGAGACTGAGGTCACGTATGCATGCATGTTTGAATCCAATGGCAAGCGGGTAGTTGGTCCGAGTCCGCGAGTATCACATTCTCTACATGGAGAGAACTTGAGAGTGCAAACAGGATACTATCAAGTGATCTTAAAGGTCTGAAGGGGCAAAAATCTGTTATTTAGAGGACTGATAATAAAACCCTTGTCGGTTATTATCAGTACTGGTAGTTCTAAAATATGATAAATAAGATGAACAAGGAAAGGCTGCGTTCAATGAACACGACATAGCAACAAGAATCAATGACAAGGAGCCCAGGATGACCCTAAACAAAAACAGGAGAGGGCGCAAGAAGTCGCATTTGCAAACAATTGCACTGAATGTTGATGAAATTTGCAGAGGAATGAAATCAGTTTAACGCCCGAATGGGTACCTAGATCGATAAATACGGAGACTGATTTTGAGCAGGTGCTGTGATAGTGATGACTAGGCGGTGCTTTATAAAAATTTATTTGCACTTGCACAGTAATGGGGACACCATTCCAGAGATTGGTTTGCTTGCGCCTATATTGCAAAGTGTTAGACTTTTAATTTGAGCTTTTCTGTCCCAAGTCGTATGGTATTAATGCGTTTAAAAATATGGACGGGCCATTTAAATTGGTTGGTTCCAACAACTAAATATCTTGAAAAACCTATTTTAGATAGCTGTACTTGTGCGCTGATTTTTCACATTTGGAGGACCGTTAAAATTCACCCATACACGGAATATTTATAGTAAATGAAACGAGTTAATTATGAGGATATAACACTGGCTTGGGCGACATCAATAGATGTATATGTCAAAAAATGGCGAGGCCGTAAGGCCGACACGATTTTTTGCAGGCACATCCCGAGATGTCACCCCGGCCTGTGTTATATCCTCGTAACTTATTTGTTTTATATATTATAACTGTTAAATCGCAATTCGTTTTAAATCAGCTAGAAAAAATCTATGTGCACTTTGGTCGCTTGTGCCCCTTTTACTTTAGTTTTAAATGGAAACACCAATACCAGCTAATCCTGTCGTAAGTTGCCTTACATATAAAAAAGTGGTCACATGGTTTACAGGGACTTCGTATCATACTGACAATTTTTGTTTCTTAAAAACTTATTACAATCTGCGGAACGATTTAAGTGGCTAGCATTAATTAGCCATTGAATGCAGAGGTATTGCTAAGTATTTGTAACAAGTTTAAAATTTCTTTAATTGTGAGAGATGTGTGCATGATCCTTTTAGGTTTTTCGGGTTTCTTAGATTTGATGAGTTTAGTTCACTGAAATAAAATTATTAAAAGATTTTGAAGATTGTAAATTGAATTCCAAAATGTTAAACTGGCCAATATCGTTTAGGTTGCGAAGATGTTATTTGCAAAGGCAAGACCATCGCATCTAAACCGTTATATGTTTATTACTGGACAAGATATTTCTGATGATTATCTTTTATTTAGGCCTTGTTTTAGATCAGGAAATAGTGGTAAACTAATTTACAGGAATAAGCCGTTAAGTAATACAAGGGCTAGAGAGTGCATTTTAGAAAGATTACGTCCTTTTACGGATAATTTAAATATTTGCTTGCACTCTAGGCGCTTAGATCGGGTGGAGCTGCCGTAGCTGCTAATGCCGGGGTAAATGATTTCCTCGATTTCCAGTGTCGCCGCGTCCTTGTGACCATGCACGAGTGTCCTCGCCGTGTAAAGGCCTGTGTAACCGCGCCCGTGAGACTGCACCCGTGTTGTGCGCCCGTGTGACCGCTCGTGCGCCTTCCGAGACGAGCTCGCAAAAGGAACATGTAAACGTTCAAAATTGTTAATATGTTCTTATATTTATGGTATGGGTTATTCATCAGTGCATTCCGTCACCGTATATACATGTATATAACAAGTTAATTTAATAACAATTACAAATCAATCTACATATTATTGTATATTGTTTTACTCGAGATATTCATATTTATCAATATTTTTGTGTTAATAAATTGTAATCTCTCCAAATAAGTGCTGATTCTTTAAATATTGATACACCTGTATATATGTATGTTCTTACTAACTTGTTCTTTGTTTACATGTTTGTATGCAAAGTTTTATTGCATTTAGCCACTGTCTGTCACTGTGTATGATCACATTTGATGTATGATATTTCTTGAAGTTTCTCTTCTGACACTGAACGAACGCACCTTCTACCAAGTATTTGACAGAAGAATGACAGCCTGTAAAGTATTGCTAACATCTGTTTTTAAAAACTGGGCCAAAGTAGGTTTATGTATAAAGAACGATCAAACTTACTGGACTGTATCATCTTCAAAGAGGAAACAGTACAATCCAAGCAGATGACATACGATTTAAAAATAGATTCTGGGATCCCGCTTTCCAAAATAAAGTAGTCGGTGAACGTGTAAGTGGTAAGTTCATACTTTTTCACGTTTATAGAATTTTTTTATATTTTAAATTCGTGTAGGTTTGATTTTTTAAAATTATTATGCTGTAGAAAAAAACAATTAAGAAACTAATTTAGATTTTGTTTATGTTCAAAATTTAAACCAGATTTCATTCAATTAAGATATTTTTGAGTACGATTTTGTAAGCCGTTAAGTCACATTGCAAATGAAAAGATCAAGTAGCGGCTGTCTAACTTTACTGATAAAGAAAGGTCTCGAGTGAATTATTTTGGACAAAAATTGGGTATCTTGATAGAACAAAAAAAATCAGCCGCTTATCTGATATTATCCTTAAATAGACATAGACTGAAAAGCTTCAAATTCAATATTATGTTTATATGAATCAAATGCTTATTCAATATATGTTATTCGATAGACATTATCACAGTTGGTTAAAAATATAGAAAATGAAGCAATATTTTAGCAAATTGGTGAAGTGATAATAAACAAGATAAAACTTAAACAAACAGTGAAGTTGTAAAATAAATTAAAATGACCTCATCATTTATTTACATGAATTGTTCTTGTGTGACGAATATAAATGTAGTAAGGATTTTTTTTACTTATTTCTCTTTTTTAGTTTAAGGTCCATTATGCATTAGAAATTCTTCTTTTTCTTATTCTCAAAAGATTTTATATTTGGTGGTCTGTGATAGTCTCCAATTTTTTTTTATTTATCGGCCATTTACTGTCTTATAGATTGCCTCTGTTGCTGTCTGTGAATTAGTACATGTTAAGTGTTTAAATAGTGTTTTGTATGTAAATCATAATAATACTTTGTTTACATTTTACAAAATAACTTGGAATACTATAGTAGTGAGTAAAATAGTATTCGTTTATATTGTTAATGAAAATGACATTTCGATTATCTAGTGAACTGGTCTAGGTTTTCATAAAAATGTCATTGAATTAAAACTTGTAGATTTGTTTCCCTGCTCTCTATTTCCTAGTGTTTTGTTTTCGTACTAGGGTTAGAGGGAAGACTAAATCATATACAAGCGTTTTTTTCCCGTCTTAATTCTTATTCAGTGTCATTCTTTTCAGTTAAGGGCATATCATATAATTGTGCTGTCCAATGTATACATTTTATAGATTACTTGCATTTGTTTATCTATATTCTGTCTTGTAATGTATATATCACATTTATATACTTGTTCTGTCTGTAGTTATTTAAAAAATGGTTGTGTAATTGTCGTTCAAATCTTCATGTATGATGGAGGATAATAAATAAATAAATAATACTATTTACATTGTGGTACATGTAATCAAGTCATTAACACGAGTTTGAATGCGGTATTTTGTTTACATTTTACAAAATATCTGATACCTAACTAGTTAATTCAGAGAATAACTAGTTACGTAACTAGTTAACCTGATAACTTACTAGTTAATTAAGAGGTTAACTAGTTACGTAACAAGTTAACCTCTTAATTAACTAGTTAGTTATATGGTTATCTGGTGGCAGAAATATGCCACCATATTAGACACAGCTTGAACTCATTAAAAACCTTTTTTTTATTAATGCATAATTATCACAAATCAACATAATTTTTGTCTCTAAAAATTTTGTATATTTTCAAGCTGAACACGTGTTTTATGTGCTTTCAAAAGAAAAATACCGTATTTATGGTGGGTGATTGTGGCCATTTCAAACCCGCTAGAAAATTTTATCGTTTATCATCAAATGTCGCTGGCTGCTTACAAACCGCAAGATTTCCTACCGATAATTGTTTAAAATGTCACGGGGAACGTGTAAACCTCGATAGTTGAACATGTTGACTTCATTGGCCGGTAGCGTCGATGTTTTGACTCTAGATTTTATCCCCCGTTTGTCAAAAAAGTCGTGGAAAAGAATGAAATCCGCGACAGATTTGCGAGTGTTGTAGAAATTCTACAAAAAGTTGATGGGGGACAATTATAGGCTGCGACTTTTTCGTTCCTCAACAACAACGGTTTCATAAAATATCACGGCGAATAATAGCAATTTTCAGTTGCGACGTTTTGCATAATAACTCATAAGGCTTTATGCTCAAAATCGACTTTTTACAAGGTATGCATCAAAACAAAACATCGCGAATTATAATGGCCGAGATCGGCCACCTAAAGTAGGCATATGTTTGCGAGGCTTAGTCTACTATGTAGATAGTGAATGTCGCGGTTTCCTGCGTAAAACTCAACTTTTATGACAGAAGTGTGACAGAAAAACTCGAGAGATTCTAACTTTCTATACGCAACGACATTTTATACAATTTCGACATAAAATATCACGGATTTAAAAGTTGTCCGCAACGGACACTACCGGCCACCATACATATGAACATTTATTTATATTATTATACTGAACGTATTTTAAATGACTCATTCATTGAAGCATATCTTTTAAATGTAAACCTACATTTTCTGCACAGATAGCATTTTCAAAAAATTGAGAAAACAGGTTAAATAAATGAAGACGCTTAGTGAGAAAATGACTAAACGTGAATATCTTTCAATCGTTAATATTCTTTATAATGGATACAGTACGTGTTTTCTAGCCATACAAGTACATATAAACACGTGTATATATATTCCAAAATTATCGAAATTCATGACATTGGTGCCCTCTCGCATATAAGAATACATATTGCATGTACTCATGTAGACTTTGTCAATATTATTTTTTAGAATATATTAAAGAGTATAACGCTTATATATCTGCTGCAAAAAACAACAACAAAAAAAAAACAATATTGTTTAAATTTTGAAAAAGAGTACTTCTAGTGTATGAAAGAAATATGTTAGTATAATCATTGCTAAGACGCAGGTTATACACAATACAAAGGAAAAAATACACCAAACACTGTAATTTATTAATGAATTAAAATTCGGTTAATCATATTGCTGGTTTCCCAACAAAATCGTATGATCAAAATATTTGTGTATTATGGTTTACTTTAAACTAATCTTCAGAAAGAACTTTAATTTAAATGTAAATATGAGGCGAACACGCTCCGGTTGATAGCATTTATATGAGCCGTGTCACGACAAAACCAACATAGTGGGTTTGCGACCAGCATGGATCCAGACCAGCCTGCGCCTCCGCGCAGTCGGATCAGGATCCATGCTGTTCGCTATCAGTTTCTCTACTTGTAATAGGGTTGGTAAGCGAACAGCATGGATCCTGATCAGACTGCGCGGGTACGCAGGCTGGTCTGGATCCATGCTGGTCGCAAACCCATTATGTTGATTATGTTGGTTTTGTCGTGACGCAGGTCATATGTAAACTACGCATGACACATTTGAACAGTTTATATCTTTACTGTGGCGTTAAAAAAGACGAAAAATGATATTGGCTGATGTAATAATGTATACGAATTAGTATAATTATACGTTGACAGTCGCAACAAAAATAGCATCTATCATGAAGTTTATACTCGTACTTTAACTGCCTATGTCTGCGAGGTATACTTTTATATTAACTGTCATTTGATGAAAAGAATATAATTATAGTTCAATGTATAAGATATATAATTAACACTCTTTTTAAAAGGCATTTAAAACTTTATATAAATAATATAAACTGTACTATATTCTGGACATGAATACAAAAAAAATACATTAGTGTACCATCTTGTTTGAAAAATATTGACAATTAAAGTATATCATTTGTATCAGTGTTATACAACAACAACAAATAATATGTTTTCATTATATGAAGAAAACATTTGCTAGTTTCAGTTTCATATTTTTCTTAGTTGAAAAGTACTTATAAAGAACCATATTTATTTTTAATAACTACAAATAAAACCAACGACAAATGTCTATGATTTAGATAGACAGGTCTCAAATAAGAAGAGGGTGGGGGGTAAGGAAATCTGTTAGATTTTGTCATATAAAATAGGGTCATCAAAATATTATGTAGTAATGATTATCTTCATACAAATATAAACATTTGTGAAAAATTAATTAAGAAAGTGGAAATAATTACTTTTCAGAAATGAGATTCTACATGAGACATCTAATACCTTAACATACCGATTCTACAAAGGTGCGACATCGCTTGAACTCCTTTAAATGCTTGACTATTACTGTAAACAACAGTTTGAATGGTAAAGAAAATAAAACAAATACGGATGTTTATGTCTTACTTAGGTTAAAATGCTTCATTGTTTTAGACGTCAAATTCTGAAGCTAACTTATATTATTAATATTATTGTATTTAAATTAGAAAGAAATGAAAACGGAAAATAATGAAAGGAAAGTGATAATCAATGGGTCTTAGATTTGTATGCATTGCCTCCGTGATATCAAAGTCAACAAAAACGCAAATAACTTGATCGATATAATTGTATGTGTCCTTGACATTATTTTTAAAGGCTACATCCTTATCATAGAATGTCTCTCCTATTTGACACAAAATAAATAATGTACAGTAGCTGAGTTTAGATACAAAATATTGCTCAGAAATAAATTGAAAATCGTATTGTTTTGGGCCGACTTGGAGGTCCCTATGATTATTTGAGTCACTTTTCCGAGAATAATTATTCTTGAATAAACCGAGTGAGAGAATGATCTGAAATTTTGCACACAAAATACTAGTCTATGCCTAATCAAACGGTACATTAATCTCGAAAATTATTCCAGACCCGTCATGTCAAAATCAAACAATAGTTGAGTTCTTCCTAAAGGGTCAGCGCTATTGTAGCATAAAAGTATATATCTGGTTCTATTATTCAGCTTTTCATGATTTGGTTTTCGTATAAATGTGTGCATTTGACGCGCGAGTTTGGTGCCATTTGGCAGCTACCAATGAAATCACCGGTGTTGTCACTGCATTCTATTGTTTCTATATGGCGCAACTAATCATGTTTATTACAAACAAGAGAAAAAAGACAATAAAAACAAACACAAAACAAAACAATCGAGAACAAAAACCCTTTCCCCTTTCCTATTCTGTTCAGATAGGTAGATGCATACATCTGTCT